AACTGAACTGCGTGTTTTCTAAAGAAAACAGATTTCACTGTAGCGGTTCCAGCCCCTTAGGAGTAAAATACAGTGTGTACATCATCAACAAGACTCAGGCTGCAAAAGTCTATCTGACATCATCTTCATTTTATCAGGAAGCTTGTGTGTCAATTAGATACTGTTTGAAGTTTACTTTCAGTGATTTTGAGGTGGCTGGGTTTAATATTCCCAGTGCTTTTTTTCTGGGGGGACACAGGGGTATGCACACCCCTAAACATTTTGTGAATCTTTGTACTTTTGTCCATTTACTGTATTTATTTCCCCCAATTTGAACTATAAAATGGTGATTTTCTTGAATCAAAATGAGATTACCCCTAAACATTTTTTTAGAAAAAAAGCACTGATTATTCCTGTTATTTTGCAAGTCTGTAGGATGGTGTTGTTCCCCCAACAGTGATGTTATTTCCCCGCTAAACATGAAGGCAGCTGTTGTTGACAGGAAACACCCTGCATCAGCTCCTCATAATTTTTTTTCTGCGATAGATTGCACAACAATGAGCAGATAGTCTCACACACGACATACATACTGATTGTGATTCTCAGATTTCGGTTCAGTCCATTAAAAACACACTGTCTAGTTAACATGCGTTTTAGTGATATGCCTTTTAAAAGCAATGTTTTGCAAATTCTCTTGCAGAAATGGGCCATAAAAAAGACATTGCATTTACCTTTTCTACCGTCTGCAAAAAAAGAAACGGCATTCTTTCAAGCGATAGTATCCTGATTCTTGTGTTAGCACTGCTGTTGTTGGAGCTCCATCTAAAATGACCCAGCATTCCTTCTACAACTGCAGTGCAAAATGTGCTTTGGTTTCAGGGAGAGATGGACCGGAGCATTTGATGCTAATGGCAGCTTGCCTCCTAGAGCAAATAGCAGCTTGGTATTCATCAGAAGGTATTCATTCATTCATCAAAAGGGACGCGGGTGGCACTGTGGGTTAAACCACAGAGCCTAGGACTTGCCGATCAGAAGGTCGGCAGTTCAAATCCCCGCAACGGGGTGAACTCCCGTTGCTCGGTCCCTGCTCCTGCCAACCTAGCAGTTCGAAAGCATGTCAAAGTGCAAGTAGATAAATAGGTACTGCTCCGGCGGGAAGGCAAACGGCGTTTCCGTGCGCTGCTCTGGTTCGCCAGAAGCGGCTTAGTCATATTGGCCACATGACCCGGAAGCTGTATGCTGGCTGCCTCGGCCAGTAAAGCGAGATGAGCACCGCAACCCCAGAGTCGGTCATGACTAGACCTAATGGTCAGGGGTCCCTTTACCTTTACCTTTACTATTCATCAGAAGCACCTTGCAATGGGAAGGTAAGCTTCTAAACCCACCCCACCCTGGTGTTTCGAAAGGGGAGTCTAAATGCCCTAGTACAGTGGTACCTCGCAAGACGAATGCCTCGCAAGACAAAAAACTCGCTAGACGAAAGGGTTTTTTGTTTTTTGAGCTGCTTCGCAAGACGATTTTCCCTATGGGCTTGCTTTGCAAGACGGAAACGTCTTGCAAGTTTGTTTCCTTTTTCTTAACACCGTTAATACAGTTGTGACTTGACTTCGAGGAGCAACTCATAGAACGCGGTGTGGTAGCCTTTTTTGAGGTTTTTAAAGACTTGGGTGATTTTTGAAGCTTTCCCAAAACTTTCCCGACACCATGCTTTGCAAGACGAAAAAAATCGCAAGACGACAAAACTCGCGGAACGAATTAATTTCGTCTTGCGAGGCACCACTGTAAAGGGCCTTTCTCTATATGTGAAGTCTGAGTTGGCCACACCCATTCCCAGTATGCAGCCCCCAGAGGACTGACCAAGGGTGAATGCAGCTCTCAGGCCAAAGGAGATCTGCCCCCTCCCTATAGGGGCTGCATCAGTAATAATGTACAGCCATATATGTATCGCCGGAGCATTGGGTTTTTGGGGGGGGGGGAGTTGCTGCTGGAGGGGGTGTTGCTTCTGCTATTGCAGTTGGTTTTTGTAGCTTTATTTTAGATTGTGCTGTGATTTATGTGGAAATTGTTCAGTTTGGTTACATTTTTTTTAATGTTTGATTTCTTGTGTATTTTTAAAATAAATTTATTAGAATATAAATAAGAATTCAGAGCTTCTTATCAAATCTCTTTCCCCCCCCTAAACTAAAACAGTAATCTAAGTATCTTATCAAAAGGAAAAGAGAGAAGAAAAAGAGCAAGAAAGAAAAAGGAAAAAGAGAAGAATATAAATATAATAAAGAAATAGTTTGGTTTCATATTTTTTTGTTTTATTTATTGTTTATGTTGTGGTTATGTATTTTTTTCATATTGTAAGCCACCTTGAGCATAGTTTGAACTGTGGAAAGGTGGTGTAGAAATAAAATTATATATGTATGTATGTATGTATGTATGTATGTATGAAAGTGCCTCTGCCCGATTAAAGGAAAATCAAAACATACATTGAATGCATACATTGTGGACTATGTGTTACACTTGTTTAAGCTGCTTAGAGCAGATCAGTTTGCTGTTGTTGTTGTTGGTGGTGGTGGTGTTATTTATATGCCATCCATCCGACTGGGTTCCCCCAGCCACTCTGGGCGACTTCCAACAAATTAAATCACAATATGAAAATAAATCAAACATGTAAACTTCCCTGAACAGGGCTGCCCTCAGATGCCTTAATTTCATACACCTACCTGGTTAATACAGGGTGGGTACCAAACACTCCATGCTCTTCATTATAATTGTATATGTTGTTTTTCCTTTGGGCACACATATGGAATGATAGTGTAGACCAGTGGATCTGAAACTTTGTGTTATTAGGCTACTCTTTCCATATTGACCTCTGCCTGGAGCAACTAGGCTTCTGGGGGAGTCTCTTAGGAACCTCACTGCTATAGACCCAGGCTGAATATATCTTCTACTTTTACAGCACATTTAAATCACACTGCCTTCCCCAAGAACACTGAGCACTGGAGTTTGTTAAAGGTAATGGGCATTGTAGCTCCTTAAGGGGTAAACCTTTGAGGGGAAATTTGTGCTTTGATTATCGTCTTCCAAAGCAACTACTTTACAGTCATACCTCGGGTTACAGACGCTTCAGGTTGCGTTTTTTTGGGTTACGGGCCGCCGAAACCTGGAAGTACCAGAACTGGTTACTTCTGGGTTTTGGTGGTCGCGCATGTGCAGAAGCGCTAAATCATGCTTTGCACATGCGCAGAAGCGCCGAATTGCAACCCGTGTGTGCGCAGATGTGCCGCTGCGGGTTGCGGGCGCTGTGGGTTGCGAACGTGCATCCCACACGGATCACATCCGCAACCCAAGCGTCCACTGTATTCCGAACTTAAAAATGGAAAGCGCAATGCTGGTGGTCAACAAAAGATCTTTACAGACTCTCTCAAGGCAAATCTTTTAAAATGTCCTATAAACACAGACAACTGGGAAACACTGGCCTGTGAGCGCTCCAGTTGGAGAACAGCCTTTACCAAAGGTGTCATGGGCTTTGAAGACACTCGAACTCAGGATGCAACGGAGAAACGTGCTAAGAAGAAGGCACGCTTGGCAAACCCTCACCGTGATCAACTTCCGCCCGGAAACCAATGTCCCCACTGTGGAAGGATGTGTGGATCCAAAATTGTCCTCCACAGCCACTTACGGACTCACTGTTAAAACCATGTTCATGGAAGACGATCTTACTCGGCTACGAGTGATCACCAAAGAAGAAGAAGAAAGGTACGGGGTGTACTGAGGCCCCTTTCCCACGAATAGGAGTAACCCTGTCTCTAGACTGCATTGCTTCAGACTTCAAAGGGTGTGGGTTTTACAGTATATGATGGATTGCTGCCCCACAAAAGGTGAGGAAACAATCCAACACGGGGAAAACTTGATGTAAGAAGAATGGTTCTCGCCTTTCCCTCTCGCTGATGCGGTAGTTTTCTATAAGCTGTGATTTATTTGCTTTTCAGGCCGAAGCATTCGGCCATGTGATTTTCCCACCTGCAATTTGGAATGGGACATGTACAGTCCAGAAATGGGTGGATGGCCTCCGTTTGCTGTTTGTGAGAACCAGACTCTTAAAAAGCTCCTAAAAATAGTCAAATAATTCAAAATGTACGGCTTTAAAGATGCAGTGCCAAACTGTAAGGTACGTACTTTTCATTTATATACAGTGCTTGCCATCAACACAGTACTGAATATTAGATTGACACAAGAAGCTGCTTTTGGAATAGACAAGGTTTTTGTCTGAAAAGATAGATTAAGGTATGATAAGTAAATCCTGCTCCATAATCTGATGGTTGGCACATTAGGTTATTAGTCCTGATTGATTTAATAGAGTTGTATTCAATGCTAGCCTTTCTCAGAGTAGGCCCATCAAAGTTAATGGGCATGGCAAACTACATTAATGTCAAAGTAGGATTGAGTTTGAGACAAAGCACAATTTCGAAAGTATTCACATGTCTGTTCCTTTTAAAGATAGCAATTTACACAAAATAGTTTTTTTTATAATTATAAAAAAGTTGTTAAACAAATGTGTACCATTATACCCATTCACACTTTAGTTTAACTGCTAATCATCTTTGTTGAAAATTTCTCCTGTTTCTCCTTCATATAGTGGAAAAATATACTTTTAAAAATACGTACCAATTCCAGCTTGACCTATAATCCAGGAGAGTCGGATGAAGAGCATCACCCCCCAGATATTCAGCATGCATCTCACCTAAATTATAAACAAAGACAATTGCATCACCATGTAATTGCAGAATGCAAGAGTTTTCCGTGTATAAAAATAACCTATGGCTTTGAAGACTCTGATCAGTTCAGTGAAAATGTTTAACAAGGCTATGAGACAAAAGAGTCAAATGTAAAAGTGGTCATAACACAACAAACAACAGCAATGACCAGTGGCCCTTCATGTTGTGTTAAGGCATTTGCCGCAGATGGTGTCATGCAAGTTAGGTCCACCCTCATTTCCCCCCAAATCTACTAGCTGTAGCCTGAGATCTTCACATCTTGATAGGGGAAATCTTTCCACATTTAGTTGAACGCACAGAGAATCCTTCATGCTTTTCCTGCCACTCAAGGAAAGAGTCTGGGTGGGTTGGATAGTGGGGCAGTGCAAACAGTTACACTGTTCATAATAGAACATGTGGAGACAACTGTCAGAGCAGTGCTTTAAATGAAATTTTTAAAAGACATAAAGGTAAAGGGACCTCTGATCATTAGGTCCAGTCGTTGCCGACTCTGGGGTTGCGGCGCTCATCTCGCTTTACTGGCCGAGGGAGCCGGCGTACAGCTTCTGGGTCATGTGGCCAGCGTGACTAAGCCGCTTCTGGTGACCCAGAGCAGTGCACGGAAACGCCGTTTACCTTCCCGCCAGAGCGGTACCTATTTATCTACTTGCACTTTGACATGCTTTCCAACTGCTAAGTTGGCAGGAGCAGGGACCGAGCAAGGGGAGCTCACTCCGTTGCGGGGATTCAAACCGCCGACCTTCTGATCAGCAAGCCCTAGGCTCTGTGGTTTAACCCACAGCACCACCTGTGTCCCTTCCAAAAAAAAGGACATATATGAGTGCTAATTGAAGCTGCCCATAGAGAGAGAGAGGGAGGGGGAAATGCAAAGCAAAAAACACAAACCCTGATATACTAACCGGAGCAAGTAAACTCCAGCACAAGCAATTGCATGTGCAGAGAAGAGCAACCAAGATGATTAAGGGTATGGAAACCAAGCCTTGCATGAAACAGTTGAGGGAGTTGTGTATGTTTAGCCTGGAAAAGAGGAGACTGAGGGGAGCTATGATAGCCTCCTTCAAATTTCTAAAGGGCTGTGATGTGGAAGCTGGATCAAGCTTGTTTTCTCCTGCTCCAGAGGGTAGGACTTCTGGTGACTTCACGTCACCAGAAAGGAGATTCTGACTAAAAACCAGGAAGAACTTTATGACAGCAAGGGCTGTTCAACAGTGGAATGGACTTCCTCAGAAGGTGGTGGCATCTCCTTCCTTGGAGGCTTTAAGCAGAGGTTGGATGGCCATCTGTCACAGATGCTTTAGTCGAGATTCCTGCATCACAAGAGGTTAGACTAGATGACCCTAGGGGTCTCTTCTAGGATATATATTTTGCTTACCAGGACCCCTTTCACCCATCCAAATTTCACAAAGCCTCCTTTGGTTTCTTCTTCCTTGTTGGATTCCGCTTCTTCTGTATTGTCATCTGCTTTGGCGAATTTGTCAACTGAACCAGAAGTCACCGCAATGTTCTAAACAACGACAAAAATTATTTTAAAAGGTATTTAGTATGATTGTCTTTCAGATGAAAGGAACGGGAGCGTGTCTAGCCTGTGGTTCCACAGGAAGACAGGAAATATGCAGAATGTGTGAGCAGGGATACAGCAATCTGAAAATCTCAGTTTTCCCCCTTTTAAAAGAAAACAAGGGTCTGGCATTTATATGAAGATATGGACAATGCCAGCTGCAAATAAGACACCAAAGCAAATGAGATCTTCAGTGGTTGGAGGTTGCGCTTCAGGACCTGGATAGCTCCCTTCTGTAATTAGCAAAACTATAACAAATCGTGCAAAATAGGAGAAAACAAGCAAATCTCCAGCTTTTCCCCTCGCATGGAATACAACATCGTTCTGCCAAGGCATGCCAAGACTTTTTCTCTACATATCATTTTCTCATTTCATTAGGGACTTGAAAGAGACAGAATCTTGGATGGTGTGAATTTTCTAGAGATATATTCATATATCCATGGCCTCTAAAAATTCTCCATGCTATTTTTGGTGGCAAATTTTGAGTGTTTGTGTATGTGTGTGTGTTTCATGGTATTTTCTACAGAGGAGGACGAGAATTCTCAAACAGCTCAGGAACAGCTTGAAAGCATATGGGGCTGTATGCAGTGTTCTCTGTCTGCTAGTCCAAGGACTCTTGTGCTAACGGACCGGTGAATTTTAATGTTGTGCAACAGAGGAATCCACTGCAACAGTTGTGCCAATGGAAACTCATTGTGCATTTGAATGCTTTATTTATTTTACAACAAAGTCACCAGCAACCTGCTTATGTGTTCATTGGCGCAAAGCATTTTGCTACTGAAATAAGAATACGGCCGAGTGACTTTAACTTAGTGCTGCATGGGATACGTTATATTAAAGAAACTGTATATATATATATATATTAATTTGGTATCAACCCTATGCTAACTGATAAACAGGATCTATTGTTTTACATCAGTGGGCTTCATATTTTTAAACCTTAGGACCCTTCCCACTATGGAATTATCCATGAAGCAGTTCCTGCAATCCAGAGCTCTACAGCTTTTCCCCTGACATGCTTATTATCTGTATATTATATGAAGCTCCACCTGAACAGTTACTACATTACTGAGAACTAGATCTTTGTGTTAAGCTGATTGCAAGCTGCTTCTTTTTTTTAAGCCTTGCTTTATTACATAAAATCATGGGATTTTACATAAAATCATGGGTATGTAAATTGCTTATTTACATACATAGAAAGAAAGTTGGGGATTTAGGTCCCACTGAATTTAATTAACCCAGCTCACAGCTAAGCATACAAGATTTCAATGTTATGCATGCATACCTGGCAGTGGGCCCCATTGAAGACGACGACGACGACGAAGAGTTTGGATTTGATATCCCGCCTTTCACTCCCTTTAAGGAGTCTCAAAGTGGCTAACATTCTCCTTTCCCTTCCTCCCCCACAACAAACACTCTGTGAGGTGAGTGGGGCTGAGAGACTTCAAAGAAGTGTGACTGGCCCAAGGTCACCCAGCAGCTGCATGTGGAGGAGCGGAGACGCGAACCCGGTTCCCCAGATTACGAGACTACCGCTCTTAACCACTACACCACACTGGCTCTCTTGAGCAGGGATACCCAATATAGTGCCATCCAGATGTGGACTACAACTCCCATCGGTCCCAACCAGGGTGGTCAATGGTCAGGAATGATGGGAGTTGTATTCCACAATATCGAGATCGCTGCCCCTGCCATTAAATATAGACTTCCATCTGAGTAAATATGAATTGGATTGAGCTACAAGTATGGTCATTCTTAATGCCCTCTCAGTTGAGGCTATACGGGTTATGTTACCAATAACTCTTCAAGAGAACAAAAGAGATTATCTGTCTTTTCTTTCTTTGACATACCTTTGCCAGCTGTTCGTGAATATCCATCAGACTAGGTCTGTTAATTTTGACCCCACTGACACTGCCAGTGTTTCGGTAGTAACCAATCTTAGGCACGGCATCCATTGTATTATGACCAAATGTTTTCAGGTAATACGTGTTGCTGTGGGTATCATAAGGGTGAAAATTCCCATCTGTTTTCGCGGCATCTCCGTTTTGAAAGAAATTGTCATATAATTCTCTGTTTTCAGGCCTGTAGCCGACTCGGAGTCTATTATTGACATCGTCTGCAAAAGAAGTCTCTTCGTAGCGTTGTGAGTCGGGATCGCCTTGAGATTGTAGTGTATTGTCATGGCTTTCATTAATGACATTGACTTGAAATCTGTTTGGACATGGGTCCAAAAATATGTTTGGAGAATTATTCATAGACATATTTATGGGCAACGGATATTTCAATCACAGATCTTACTGCTTCTTTGTCGTCAGATTCCCAGACTGCTGTGGTGTGCAGATGATCCCGGTGTCTCTCATTCAGTAATTGCTTCCGCCAACACTCTTACTCTTAAAATGATAATGTGCAACTCTGTCAACCTACAAAGAAAAAACAAGCAATATTTTAAATTAGCTGATTTCTTTCCAGCCATCAAGCCTGGTGTCTTACCATTTATTTTTATTTTTAAAATATCAAATCTATGCACTACCTTTCAACAGACAACTGTGAGAATGGTTTGCAAGACAGAATAAGACATCAGGGAAAGTGTAAGATCCAATAGGATTCAAAGCAGCAGGGAAATTCATGCTGAAGGTTCCAGAGAGCGAACGCCTGGAACATTATTACTTGACCGGAGAACCGTGATGCAAAATTCTTTAAGGAAGGTAAGTGTGTGTGTGTGTGTGTGTGTGTGTGTGTGTGTGTGTGTGTAAAACTGCTGCTGGCAGGATCCCAACAGCAGAACCGGTGAAAAGCCCCAAAATGGGGGGAAGAAGGGGCTGAGCCAGCCTGTGATCTCCTTAGTTGGGCATTTGACCTGATGTAGGCCTGATTGACTGCAAGAAGATCAAACCTATCCATTCTTAAGGAAATCAGCCCTGAGTGCTCACTGGAAGGACAGATCCTAAAGCTGAGGCTCCAATACTTTGGCCACCTCATGAGAAGGGAAGACTCCCTGGAAAAGACCCTAACGTTGGGAAAGATGGAGGGCACAAGGAGAAGGGGACGACATGGTTGGACAGTGTTGTCGAGGCTACCGGCATGGGTTTGACCAAGCTGCAGGAGGCAGTGGAAGGCAGGAGTGCCTGGCATGCTCTGGTCCATGGGGTCACGAAGAGTCGGACACGACTAAACGACTAAACAACAACAACAACAGGCCTGATTGCTTTGCAAGTTCCGAGCTGGTGCAATGATTTGCCTACCCTCACCTTTTGCCCTGTCCAGTGTGCACTACAACTGTGGTTAGGATTGCACCTTTAGTGTTTCGTTGTTATACTGCAAGGGCTGTTTTAAATGGTTAATTTATCACCTTCCTCTAGGGTTGCCATATTTCAAAAAGTGAAAATCCGTACAGAAAACTGTTGAGCTCCCCCCCCCTTTTTTTTGCAAAATCTCAAAAATAAAAAATAAAACAATGAAGTTTTTGAGCTATTTGTAAGGGAAATCGGCAAAAAAACCACTGCTGATTTTCACTTGGACACCGTTTCCGACAGCCGATTGCCGGCTTACTGGGGCAAAGGTGGGGTATAAATGTTTTAAGGAAATAAATAAAAATAATTCAGTGGAAGCTGATCTTCCCTTGGGGAGGAATGGGGCACCACAAGAGGAGACCCTCTACTGACTTTGGGGAAGGGTGTAGCTCAGTGGTGGTAGAACAATTGCCTTGCATGCAGAAGGTCTTAGGTTCAATTCTTGAGTTACAGGGAACCAGGCAGAGGGCCTTCTCGGTAGTGGCACCTGCCCTGTGGAACACCCTCCCACCAGATGTCAAAGAGAAAACCAACTACCAGACTTTTAGAAGACATCTGAAGGCAGCCCTGTTTAGGGAAGCTTTTAATGTTTAATAGGTTATTGTATTTTAATATTCTGTTGAAAGCTGCCCAGAGTGGCTGGGGAAACCCAGCCAGATGGGCGGGGTATAAATAATAAAAAATTATTACTATTATTATTATTATTATTATTATTATTATTAGCATCTCCTAGGTTCCCATGACCTGCCATCCACTTCACTTTGGGGAGCAGGCCCTCTGAAGACAATCAGAACACATGGGTGTCAGATTGAGAACAGGCATTCCATCAGGTGCCAGACTCCAAAGGTGCATAGGGCTTGGGAAGTTAAGTACCAGCATGTCAACACGAACTCAGAAATGAACCATGTCAGCACATCTCATTAAATGCAAGTCCCACCCCAAAGCTTAGCTTGTGTCCTCACAAGACCTATAACTGCACTGGCTGCTAATTAGCTCCTGGGCTAAATTCTTAGGGCTGCCATTTGTCTGGAATTTCCTGGACATAGCCGGGATTCGGCAGCTGGAAACAGTATCCGGGCTGAAACCTCTGTAATGTCAGGGGAAATCCGGACGTATGGCAACCCATATCGGAAGTGTAGGTTTTGCCGAATTTCCTTAAAAATAGCTTTTTAAAAAATAGATTTTGCAAAAGCTCAAGAACTTTGCCCTTTTTATATCCAGTTGATCACTGTGCCCTACAGATAGCATCATATCAGAAGGTCCATTCTGCACGATACAAGGACTGGCACCAACCCTCTGCAATTTCTTCCTCTTAAAAATCAGATAGGTGCTGCCTCTGTTGTGTTTTTGGTGCCTACCAAAACCCTTTCTCTTCCAACAAGCCTTTTAAGTACAGTGGTACCTCGGGTTAAGAACTTAATTCGTTCCGGAGGTCCATTCTTAACCTGAAACTGTTCTTAACCTGAATCACCACTTTAGCTAATGGGGCCTCCCGCTGCCACCGTGCCGCCGGAGCACGATTTCTGTTCTTATCCTGAAGCAAAGTTCTTAACCTGAGGTACTATTTCTGGGTTAGTGGAGTCTGTAACTTGAAGCGTCTGTAACCCGAGGTACAGTGGTACCTCTGGATGCGAACGGGATCCGTTCCAGAGTCCCGTTCACATCCTGAAGTGAACGCAACCCACGTCCACGTGTCTGCGCGTCTGCGCGTCTCGATTCGCTGCTTCCACGCATGCGCGGGATGTCATTTTGACTGTCTGTGCATGCGCGAGCAGCGAAACCCAGAAGTAGCGCACTTCATTACTTCTAGGTCACCATGGAGCGCAACCCAAAAATACTCATCCTGAAGCTACTTCAACCCGAGGTATGACTGTACCACTGTTGACAACTTTCCCAGTCTGCCTCTGTATCGGAATTGGGGTTTTTTATGTTTTAAAGATGTCTTTATTGTTTGCATTTGCCACCCTGGGTTCCTTTAGGAGGAAAGGCATGGCATACATTTAGTAAATGGATACCCTCTAGCAGTTAGTTCAGAGCTGGTTCAGAATGATACCACAACTATGGGAGGATGATGCAGGAGTCTTGAGTTCTGCCCAGGGACTGCTTGCAACTGACATATTTACTTCTCACTTTTCACATAAGACTCAAACAAGCTTACAGTTAACGTAGTAAAACTGCAAATATGGGATAAAAAATTTAAAAATAATAATAATTCAAAGCTCTGCCAGTTGGCTCTGACCAAGGCACAAGGCAAGGAGAAAATTGGGTACCGTAAGTTCAAAGTGAATTGAATTTACTCTATCCCTATTCCTAGTTTCATAAGCAGGAGGAGGGGGGAAACCTGAGAGGAGGTGGGTGAGTGGGAGGGTAAATGAGTATTTTAAGCAGAAAAGTAGCAGGCAGGACCAAAATGCTGAACCCTTCACTCAGAGAAAAACAATTATGCAATGGGGGTTGAGGATGTGGAATCAGGGAAGAGTTCTTCACCCGCAACCCACCTGCTACATATCCACTTTAAACCCAACTATTCTTACCACTTTGGCAAGGGCCCAGGTTCTAACTTCAGAAAACGCATTTTGGTACTTGTTTATTTTTCAGTGATATGCAAAGCTCGCCTCGAGCGGACACAATCCAACCCAAAATTAAGCACATTAAGGCTCATTGAATTTAATTGGCTCAAATATGCCTAGTTATGTGTTGGATTGTGGTCAAATGCTACAAACACAGCAAATTTTGGATGCCTGTGTGCTTGCAAACATCAATCAGGGCGCCACAGCCAAAGATATTGGTGCTCTTCCAAACAATTTGATATAATCTGGAAGTATCTTTGGAGATTATATTCCAGTATTAGCTCTGTTCTGGCAAACTTTCCATACGCAGTTTCTGTTGCTGAACTGGCTGTCACTGTTCACATGTGCAAGTCAAACGCACATTCATGCACATCTGGATATGAAGTGTTCAGTTGTGATCCCAACTGGTAGTCTCAGCTCAGATGTGGGTGCATCTTCCTGTCTGTCTTGCAATGTAGGTAGAAATCTGCCTCCACGTTTACTATCTTGGACAGCTAGATGTGTGCAGGACTAGTCAATGAAAACTTTTATTGCTTTTGGCTAAAGGCCTTTGCAAAGATTAAACAAGCTCAAACAAAACACATTTTTTTAAAAATATTGAAAGTACTGTATATGCATATTAAGTAAAGATACAGTGGTACCTCGGGTTACATACGCTTCAGGTTACATACGCTTCAGGTTACAGACTCCGCTAACCCAGAAATAGTGCTTCAGGTTAAGAACTTTGCTTCAGGATGAGAACAGAAATCATGCTCCGGCGGCACAGTGGCAGCAGGAGGCCTCATTAGCTAAAGTGGTGCTTCAGGTTAAGAACAGTTTCAGGTTAAGAACAGGCCTCCGGAACGAATTAAGTACTTAACCCAAAGTACCACTGTATTGCATGATATTGCATGCTACCATCTTTTAAGCAGACAATATTTGCAACTTAACCTGGCAATTCCATTCGTCAATCAGTGGGGCGGAAAAAGGAACAACATTAAGGATCTTGCACCTTCTTTCTTTCTTTCTTTCTTTCTTTCTTTCTTTCTTTCTTTCTTTCTTTAACTAATACAACACACACATGCTCCTGGGGACAGATCAAAGTAGAAAGCTTTTCCCCGCCTCTAGATTCTCTTTATGCACAGATTTCTGTTCACGTTTCCCTGCTTGGCACTGTGCTGATGAAAAGTCCAAGGCAATATCGATCGCACAATATCTACAGACAGTGTTTTATTCAATTCCGTCTCTCAAAATGCTGAATATATCATCTCTGATTCATTCAAGTTGCATTTATTGTTGCATTGTTGGGATTTACTTTCTTAGGAGAAAATCTGGGCCGTCGTTTCTCTCTATTTGTTGCGGACAAAGATTTCGCAACATGAACAATTCATCCAAATTATGACTGAGTCGTAACCCTGGTGGGGAATGAAATAATAATTTTAAAAAGCTTACCTTTTACAAACGATATTGGAGAGGATGTTGGTATTGTCAGGGATCTGTCTGCTTAAGCTGTCTACCTTTAGGCATCTCCAAAATATCAAATGTTTATACTGTGCAAGCCCTCTCTTTAAACCAATCAGCAGTTATTTTCTTATTTTCTAATGTACCTTGCCCATGGTGTCCTTTCCCACCACAAACAATACTTAAGCGGCCGGGTTCTTTCTTCTATATAGAACACCGAGGGTACCAGCCAATCCCTGAATTTGAAACAGAAGGTGCGTGTCCAGAGGAACATTTCAGCTTTTTAAATATTAGCTAGTAATGAGCCCATTAATTCTTGGACGGAAGGAGTCAGATCTGGCACTCAGCTCTCCCTGAATGTCAGTGGACCCAGTGAAGGTGATTTAGGTATTCTTCAAGATCTTGACCTCTGCTCTCTCGAGTTCATAAACTATGTTTGCAATTGTAAATGCACTCACAGAAATATGCACAGGGCTGTTTCGGACCATATTCCCAGCCAGTCATGTGCTACTGAAATAATGACTATGTAGCAATGTTTAAAAGTAATTAAATATTCATGCCAATACGTTGGATTTTTTTTATTTATACCCTTGAAGCTTACGAAGGTCATTCTTTCACTTTAGGCACTGGGTGTGATTCAGCAAAAATTAGTTGTGAGTATGGCAACCTGTTTCTTGGTAAAAATGGACATTTGAAGATAACACTCACTAGATTATCCTATCTAAGAAGTTAAAAACTGTTCGAGGGTGACAGCAAAAGAACAAAACCTTACGTTATCTTTATTCTGAAGAAAACACAGGATACTTACTATCACCACGCCATCCTTTAACATCTAAGTGCTGCCATTCATTTAATTTTGGGCGGTTATATAAGAATGCAAAATGATTCTTTTAAAGCCATCCAAGTTGGTGACCATCATCATGGGAATGAATTCCATAGTTTATATGGTGTGTGAAGAAGTACTTTTTTGGGGGGGGGGTCTGCCCTGAAGCATGGAGAAAAGGCTCAGTCAGTCACACACCCCCACCCCCACTTTGGATGGGATACAGTGGATATAAATATAGAGGATACTCAGAGTAGATCTATTGAAATCAAGGCTTCTTAGTTGTGTTCATTAATTTATATGGGTCTACTACTCCAAGTAAGACTTAATTGAATACCACCCATGGAATCTGGAAATGTGTGGAAGATAGCTATCCTGATTAAAGTGGAATGAGGAGGAAAATAGGCAGAAAGCATCCATGTAGAAGTACTTGACAAAGGATCAAATCACTGATGGGGCACCTGTGACCTTCCAGATTTTAATGGACTACAACTCCCATCATACTTCGCTGAATTCCATTCAGCGCCTGCTGAAGACATTCTCATTCAGATAAGGCTACCCAGATCTTTATAAAGTTTGTAGGAGTTTTGATTTGTTTTATTCTATTTTATTGTGATAATTTTATTGTTTTATCGTTTTTTCATAAACCACTTTGAGCCCCCCCCCCATCATGTGGTATATAAATTTCATGAAATATAAACAAACAAATAAAATCCCTGACCATTGGTCATGCTTGATGGGACTGGTGGGAGTTGGGAGTCCAACAACTCCTGAAGAACCACAGTTGCAACAAATGTTAGGTGGCCCTTTGGCCTGATACAACAAGATAGTTCTTGTGTGCTTGAACTGTTGGTTCTTTTAGTTTCTGCATTTGATAGCTCACTATAGGTTTACAAGCTTTAGCACAACGAAAGTGGGAGAAAAACAAACCAACTGGGGGAAAATTGTGGTATGAAGAGTTGTCGACTCAGGAAGTTATGGGGCATGCACTAATTGGAAAGGAAGTAGTATGTCCACCCCAAAATGAAACCGGCCAAGCTGGCTGGCTGCTTAAATGAGTGAGGGGCGGATCCAAGGGAAGCCCACTCCCAGCTTCATTGGCTCCGCCCCCTGCACAGCCCAAGCTGTAGCCTGCATCCCCATTTTCCAAAACAGGGTCCAGCCAGGTTGAATTCTCCCATCGGGGTCCCAGTGAAGTCTCCTCCATCCCGCAGTGTCGCCACACGCAAAAGGGTGAGCGGGCTTGCAGGCACAAACAGTATTCAAAATGGGATTCCATATAACTGCCCTGATACCATTGTGAGAACAAATGATCGTGAATGTACAATAAAAAAGGAAGAGACTCTGAATTTCTTGTATTCACTGGAATACTTCCAAAAAATATTGTCAGTCTGGAGGCAAACTGACTCTCTTAAATGTCACACTGTGTCTCATGAAGGCCTCCAGAAGGAATGTTCCCTAGTCCTGCTAGATCATTCTCACACGCTGCACTGTTACCTCCCTGCAGTGTTCCATTGTATTCCTATTTCCTGCAGCAATTGAACCCGCTCCTCTCTTTGGGCTTTGGCTTCCACGTTCCCAGCTTTCCCTTTAAGATCCAGCGCAGCCTGAGTGGCATTTTCGTTTAGCCGACAGACCCCGCAATTCCCTTGGTTGTCATTTGTCTAGATTATAAGGCAAATGGCACAATATGAAATTATAGAGATGAATGAATGGTCTGTCTGTGCCGATTGGCTTTATCTCAGCGGGCTCTCCGAGCACCTCTTTAACAAGAGTGACAAGGCTGAGATGAAATTTTGATTCCAGCATTTCTTAAAAATGGAATTGAACAGCTGTCAAATATTGTCACTCTCGTTCTCGCTGTATGAGCTAAGAGGTGACCTTGAGGCGCAACTAGTTACTGCCTCTTCTTTGTGTCTTCTTTGAGCTTTTTCACGTAGTCTTCATTGTGTGAGACAGTAAGCAGAAGTAAGGGCCGCTCCAAGCTAGCCCCTTCTAGGTGTTCCTGAGTCAGAACGAGGGCTCTCAACACCTCTGGGTGCCCTGAAGGAGAGAGATAAAGATGGGGTGGGGGGTGTTGATCCTCTTCTCTCCCCAGCCCCATAAAAGCAAACTCTTAATTAGTTCCATCTCTCTCTGTGCCTGGCCTAGGAATGTCTGGTCTTCAAGGCTAAAATCAAGGCGCTATAATTTTCTGTTCAGGTTGGACTTGCAAATCTTGACCATGCTTTAAATCAGGGGTCAGCAAACTTTTTCAGCAGGGGGCCGGTCCAAACTCCTTCAGATCTTGTGGGGGGCCGGACTATATTTTGGGTGGGAAAAAATAATGAACGAATTCCTATGCCCCACAAATAACCCAGAGGTGCATTTTAAATAAAAGCACACATTCTACTCATGTAAAAACACGCTGATTCCCAGACCGTCCGCGGGCCGGATTCAGAAGGCGATTGGGCCGCATCTGGCCCCCGGGCCTTAGTTTGCCTACCCATGCTTTAAATGTCCTCCTTCCTCACAACTTCTTTTTCATTTGCACAATTATTGGCACACCTTTGCACACTTCGTTCTTACCTGCACACAGTGCTTCCCCCCCTAAAAAAAAGTTTAGGGGTACTCTCATTTTTCCTACTCATATTGAAATACTGCCCCTCAATGAAGCCAAGCTTAGATTCACAAAATGTTTAGGGGTATGTGTACCCCTGCGTATCCCCCAGAAAAAATTAACTGCCTGCACAGTAGCATGCCAAAGCAGAAACTATGTGAAAATGATTATGAATCTGCAACAAAGCCTTTATTTAACAAAACAAAGCAAAAATGCCACCCCCATGTCTTCAAAACATAGGGGTCTGTTACAAATGCATCCTTACTAAGGAATTCCAGGGCCCCTTCCCCACCCCTCCACCCCAAATGAAAAAAAACACACATAAGAATTAAGGCAGGGTAATTTGTTTTTGGAGTATTTCATGCAAGCGCATATTCAAACGTCCCCTTATCCAGCCCTTCCACCTCATCCTCCCACGTGGAGGATGGCATACTGCTATAAGGGTCTAATAAGATTTTGAAGCATCTGATAATCAGAAGTCCCAAAAAGACACACAGGATCCCCACGAAGGCAAAGCCGGTTTTTTGTTCCAGAGTGAGGGGAAAGGTGGACACCTCGTTGACACTCATGCTCAATGACGCGTTGTTGCAGTAGTTACTGCTCATCTCTGGGCTTCACATCCTGCTGGGCTTTCGAGATTTTCACTTCTTCGCCTGCGAACAAAAACAGGAGGCATATTTTGGTTGTAGAGATAGCATTAGGCTGCTGCCTGAATCCAAGACTGTCCCTGCAAAATTGGAGAAAGTCTGCTATAGTAGTGAGTGAGCTGCTTTAGTTTAATGGCTAAAAGTGTGATTTGGGAAGTTCCTACTTTAAGTATAACACCAGCCGTAAGCAAGCTGTAAGGGACGCGGGTGGCACTGTGGTCTAAACCACTGAGCCTCTTGGGAATGTCAATCAGAAGGTTGGCGGTTTGAATCCCCGCGACAGGGTGAGTGCCTGTTGCTCTGTCCCGGCTCCTGCCAACCTAGCAGTTTGAAAGCACACCAGTGCAAGTAGATAAATAGGTACCGTTGTGGCGGGAAGGTAAACGGCATCTCCATGCGCTCTGGTTTCTGTCACAGTGTTCTGTTGCACCAGAAGCAGTCTAGTCATGCTGGCCACATGACCCGGAAAGCTGTCTGTGGACAAATGCCAGCTCCTTCAGCCTGAAAGCAAGATGAGCACCGCAACCCCATAGTTGCCTTTGACTGGACTTAACCGTCCAAAGGTCCTTTACCTTTTTTATTTTTACTATCCCAGTATCCCACTATCCTTATACAAGGTCAGACATTTTGTTCATCTAACCCAATACTGTTTGCTCTGACTGGCAGCTGTTCTCTAGGGGCTCCAACAGGGTCTCAATTATTTGCCATCTGATCCTTTTAACTGAGGCATAAAGGATTGCTGTGACAACCTTCTGCATCTACTGTGTCACTGGGCTAAGGTCCCTGCCTCTTATCCTTAGCCTGCTTACGGTCCCAAATATCTGCAATGCAAGAATGATGACAATGACCTGTCTTGCACGGAAATTGTCTCAACAACTTCTATTGGGCTATTGGGTTGTTGTTTTTATTTTTATTTGGTATTTTGTGGTTTTATATCTTGATTTTATTCTGTGAACCGGCCTGAGACCCCTGGGTATAGGACGGTATATAAATTCAGCAAACCAACCAACTAAACAACAACAACGTATGCCTTGTACTTTGAACACTCAATAATGCTATATAGAAGTTAAAACATTATTATTATTACCATGTTTGCCAGTGTGCAGGTCATAAAACAATTTCTTCATTTAGATTTTTTTTTTAAAGTGAAAGAACTAGTTACATAGTGAAATCACCAAAGCAAGTTAAAAGTTTATGTATTGTAACTGATAAATGGTACCTGATGCATTCATATAAGGCACACTTCCAGGCTTTCCTGAAGTTTGAACAGCTGTAGAGACATCAAAAAAAGGTTAAATCATTGAGCTGTTTTAGTTGTGGTACAAACAGGCAAGTGCTGAACTGAATTCAGGTCTCTTTCAGAAGGAATGAGGTAGCTACTAGCTGGCATGTTTTCTACATCAGAACAAGAACACACAATAATACTGTAGCAAACAGAAAAGTGGAGATTTGAAAATGCAGTTTTGTCTGAATGTTTTATTTGACTTTTATGGGCCCACCTAAAGTACGTGTGTGTGTGTGTGTGTGTGTGTGTGTGTGTGTGTGTTGTGGATTGTATCCAGTGTCACTTAATGTTATACCTGTTCTGCTGGCAAAATGTTTGGACCAGCAGAATGTGGCTGCACAAGAAATTGCACAAGCACGTTGCTGGTAACTTCATTTGCAATATACTTTAGATTGTACAATCTGCTGTGAAATGAGTTTCTGCTAGTGCAATTCTTTCGTTGGATTCCTCTGTTGTGCAAATTGAAAACTCACCTGTCTGCTAGCGCAAGACAGATTTGCATGCAAAGCGGATGTTCTGTCACTGAACCACAGTTTACAAACCACCTTGGCTGTCTCTTAGTGCAGACCCAGGTCATCAAATTTGAGTTGATGCTATAGTTGCCAGCCACCACCATTGTCAGGGTTGGCAGCAACACCAGCAGCAATGTTAATATTTTATTCTCCTGCTAATTATGCTGCTTCAAATGTGCATTTTGTATTTGACTTCCTTTGGTAACGTTTTGTTTTGAAATCTTCAAGATAGTATTTTAGTTTCCTGTTAATTATGCTGCTTTGAATGTATACTTGACTTTCTATGGTAATGTTTTATTCTGGATTGTTTTATTTGATGCTTTATTGTAGTATGCAAAGTGCTTTGAGAAATTTTTCAACAACATATAAAGCGGTATAGAAATGAAATTAACAACAACTACAACAACTTCCAACTTAACCTGGGGCTTAGCTACATTAGTAAAAAACAACAACACGTTTTGAATGTGTTATAAACAAGCAACACCAGATGGCGCTGTAGAGCAAAAAACTTTTCTATGTGATTTTACATAGTGTTTTTTCCCCTTTTCTTTTGTTATAACAATTTAATTTCTGACTTCTGATATATAGCATCCGTCTGTCCCTCCCACTATGTGTAGATTCACCTTTGGGTAGTCATTGGATAGCCAATGAAGTTGAATGTTGGGAGATTTGGGACAGGCTAAATAAAGGACTTTGTGCAGTACATAGCTAAACTATGGAACTCCCTTCTATGGGAGGCACTGATTGCCACCAATTTGGATGGCTTTAAAAGAGGATTAGGAAAAATTCCAGGAGGAGTAGGTTATCAATGGCTACTAACCCTGATGACTGTATTCTACCTCCACTGCTGGAAGCAGTATGCTTCTGAATACCACTTGCTGGAACCTGCAGATCCTGCTACAGGCATCTGGTTGCCCACTGTGAGAACAGGATCCTGCACTGACTTGATCCAGCAGGACTCTTCCTATGTGTTGCCAGGCACAGGCTTGTCAATATATTGCTCTACACATATAGTGAGCAGGTTAACACAGGAGAAAATAAGGTTTTAAAAGCAACAGCTGAAGAAACCAATCCTTGAAAGACTTTCCCAGATCTCTTCGAGAAAGGAGATGAAAAAGGGATGGGAATATTTCATCGGAGCTATAATCATACTTCATCATCTACTTTAGTTTCAAAGACTGGATTGGAAATGAGAATTCGTGACTGTGAAGGTCAAAAGCAGCCATTGTACTCCTTGTTCCGGTTCATTGCTATCTGATAGCCTGATTTATTTTTATTTTTATTTAAAGGATCGCTTTATGGACCTTTCCAGAGAATAAAAATGGAAATGCAGACCTCCCTCCTTGGCTGGGCCAGTGCAATGGTAAACGGCACGAACGGAGAAATCCCTAGCTGGAAATCACAGGCTGAAATCCTAACCCCACTTACCTGGGAGTAAGTCCAACTGGATTCAGTGGGACTTCTGAGTAGGAATGGTCAGGATGACTGAATAGGCAAACAACTATTTCTCACCCCCAGAATCAGCACACTGCTCTACAATCTGTAAATATAGGCCTGCTATATTGTATATATAGTATATATATATATTGTATATATTGTGTGTGTATATGTGTATATATATATATATATAGTATATATTATATATATTATTGTATATATTGTATATATATATATTGTATGTATGTGTATATATATATATATATATATATATATATATATTCTGTAAATATAGGCGTGCTAGGGATGCCGTAAGGATTTCTATGGTAATGGGTACAAAGTGCTTTGAATTAGAGGAAAATGTCATGTGGATCATTATCATTGTTATAAATAGCAATGCCCCCATCCCAACATCATTAGTGCTACAGGCTTTTCTCACATAACCAAACAGGGTGGGGTTGCCCTGTCTCAATGTGGTGTGTTCCAGTGCTGAAGCCAAGGAGTGCACAACTTCGCACAAGTCTGCAATCTTATGGACCCTTTCCCGTGAGAAAGCCCTATTGAACACAGTGAGGCTTACTTCTGAGTAAAGATGCACAGCAGTGCACTGCAAAGTTGTTATGGCATGGCCACACCTAATGACACTCACACAGCTTTGTTTGTTTCTTATGCCAATCATCAATTGCAGGCACTACCCTCACTGGGGGAAAAAGGTGTGTTTTCCCATTGACAGTTGTGGCTTGAGCAGTATTGAGGTAATGCAATACCTTTGCAACCCAAATACTACTGGAAGGAAAGATGCCTAGATCTCCAACGGCAAATAAGTGGCAACTGTGCATTTATTGCAATTGCACTTATTTTGGAATGGCTCTAAGATGACACATATCTTCTATGTAGAATAGTTAAGATCCAACATCAATAGGGTGCTAGAATGTGGGTGTTGCCACTGCGCTGTTTGGGGTGTGGACTGGGGATGGAAAAAAATCTGTCAATTCTGGTTCTCCCAGTTTCTAATTTTTCCATTCATAAATTCATTTCTCCAGATTTGTGCAGCAAACTGTGATTTCTTTGTAAATCCTCACAAAAATTTATCAGCATTTTGGTGCAAATTTCTCCGAATATGCACATTTTTGTACACAGTTTTGACTAACACACACAATTTTTGCAAGCATTTTTCCTAATAGAATGCATTTTTGTATGTCATTTTTACCAACATATTATTCCTTATGCACATTTCCCCTACAATATGCAATTTTTTAATAATGAAAAGCCTGGTTGGTTGGAAAACCGCATTGCAAAATTTGGATATGTGGAAACTTCAAAGGATGGTGGTGTTTCAGTTCTCATCTTGTTTCAGAAAGTAGAAATTTGATAGATTCCCTTTTAAATGTGAACAGAATCAAATTCCCCCCTCATCCCTTGTGTGGACAGCCATCTTGCAGATTTGGCCTTTATGGTACTCGTGTAAGGTATTGCCTGGCTTTTGCAAAAAAATTTCTTTGCCACTTTGGAGCAACAGCAGGTTGCCTCTGAGCCAACAAACACGAACAACCGAAATCTTACCTTGCAGAGAAGGCAACACTTTCCTTTTGGAATGCATAATACAGAACACTAATGAACTATATTTCCTTGATGAGAGATCTCGTCTAGTACGTTCACCAACCACTAGCTATGCCCTAATAATACTTGCCTTTTGTGGGCAGCGGAAGGAGATTGTGTGTCGCTGGGGAACTTGCTAGCGTCAGTGTGGCTAGACTGGCTTGTTAACATGCTAGTACAGTATGCATACATATACTGAACAGGTTAACGCAGCAGCATGTACATTTTTAAAAACAAGCCAGTCCTCGGTTGCATCTGAAGCCTCGTGGGATATGACTCCCTCTCTCTCCGGTTGCAAAGGGAATCCCACTGCCACCAGCACCAGGACTTCTTGTCGAGTAAATATGTTAGGGACCTGGGTTGCTCAACACCCACTAAAAATCCTTCTGCATCCAGCAGGCTTTCCTATCCCCTCTGCAAATAGCATCCTTGATTTAGGTGCTCTATGCTCTATGCACAAAAGCAAAATGAGATCTCCGGCAATCCCCCTCCCACCTTCGGCTGCTAGACATTACCTGGTCATAACAAGAGACAGATAGCAAGCAGAGGCAGCAACAACCGAGTCTTGGGCGTCGTTGCCAGGGAGGAAATCGACACTGCCCAGCTAACCAAGGTCAATGCCATCCTGTTGCATTAAGTCCAGTGGGAGAGCCGTGGCAGATGGATGCCTCACCCATCCTCGTTTCCTCGCCCGAGCTAGATGTCAAAGCAACACACAGCCTTCCCCCCTCCGTCGCCACCCACCGACCCACCCACCCCGCACAAAACAGCCCACTCACCCCCGTCCGAGTCAGACATCCTGAGAGTACAAACCCTTTTCCTCCTTATCCTGTGTCCCCATGCTAACGACCTGCCGAAGTTTCAAGGTCTCAGAAAGAGGATCAGGTCCCCAACTGTCAGGGAGCCCTGCGAGGATTTCTGGGGCTCCCGCCCAACGTGAGCATCGCCAGGGCGCAGGCTACATCTAACCACATTAGCATCCGAGAATCTGGACTCGGCTATGGGCGTTCCTTCAGCCGGGTTAGATGCCTCTGGGTGGGGTGGGGTAGGGTCCTTTCCCGAGCACATACACACACACACACACACGCACCGCTGGCAAGTACCTGGGGATGCTCAAGAGGTTTTAATTTGATGGTGAGGGGCGTGGGGTGGAGTGGAAATGTGAGGGGAGGTGGTGGGCAATATGAAAGCTGGATTATCATGCAGCCAAGGCTCCCCCTCTCTTCCCCACCATCCAGATTGATCTGAAGTTCCTGCAAAACACTACGTGCGAGGCATTAGCAAATCTGCTATGCTCTCCCAACTGCTGCTCCTGCTGCTGCAGCGACGGCAGACTGGGTCCTATTTGCTTGCAATCCTCCTTGCAAAGCTTGTTGTTCGGAAATGTGCATCCCTGGGGAAGCGGTTTCTCGGCAGCTTCTAGGCACCTGGGGAGAAAACCAGGCGGCGATGGGGGTTGTTATTTATGGGCAGGGAGAAAAAGCTGTCCAGCGGGGGGAGGTGGGAGGTGCGTGGGAGTTCCCCACTTTCCATGCTGGCTGCCAAGTCAACAAATATTGGGGAGGGGGTTTGAAATGGACAAGGCGCAAAGTTGGAGGATGCCGATCTCTCGCTCCTCTCCCAAGGGTGTGTTTTTTCTCCCCTCAATCAAATGCAAATTATTTAACTTTTTGTTTTATTTTAAGCAAGCTTCAGTAGCTTCCCGGGGGTCGATTTGAGTGTGTTGGGCAAGAACTGAGTTGAATGCACAGACAGACAGACAGACAGACAGCTCGATCGATCAAGCAAGCACGCAAGCAATGGCCCGCCGATCTACTGTGGTGGGATGGGTAGGTGGGATTGGATTTATTTATTTTTTACTTCGCATTTCGCCTGGGTTGCTCCGTTGTGGGGAACAGCCATGTTGTACGGAATCCGGCGTGTGCCAAATGTTTCCCGTTGTACGAAAGGGGTGATGGATTGGCGTGTGAAGCCCCTCCCCCTTCCCCGGTGATTTCGAATCTATTGTAAATGCAACCTACAAAAGTCAGATAAGAGGCTGTTTTCCCTATTAACTTCAGTGGGAAGCGGATTTTTCCTTTTGGCGCCTCCCTTGCTGAAAAAAGGAATCCTTCCAGGAATTTATGAGAACCAGGAGGTTGTTTCCAGATTCTGTCCTGAAACTTACATGCAGCTGGCAACAAAATGAGAGAATCATTCACTTGAATAGTTAAAAACAACACCAGCACCCAAATATTTGATTTGATTTTACCTTATGGGGCACATCGTTATTTGCAGCTAAGCAAGGAGCAAGGGAAACACTCCATAAAGTTGATTTATATATTAACATGAATAAACACCAGGCACAATTTTAAACGATAATTTAATCTCCACAGTATCCTCGTAGCTCAACCACCCATTGGGGAAACATTTGCTGGAATTGTGTGGCATTGCTAATGTGCCGGATGAAATTACAGACCCATCCGTCATATTTATCTGCTATTAATTCTGCATCAAGTCATTTGCTATGGCTGCTAAGAATTGGTTGAGAAAACACAGACCTCCAGGTCTTGTGGGAATTCCAGATAACAGCTTATACCAATCTTATATCCATGATTATGAGAACCAAGAAGAGTATCAGAATAAGAATTTGATTTCAACACAAAGTTTTACTTGTGTGTGTATAGTAAGGGAGAAAATTGATGACTTTATGTTTTGCTAAATTTTAGGTTAACTTGTTTTCAGTTTTAGGGATTTTCAGTGAATATTTTATATTGTTTTATGGAAACCACATGGAGCTTTTTGATGAATAAACGGTATATTGTTGTTTAGTCATTTAGTCGTGTCCGACTCTTTGTGACCCCATGGACCAGAGCACGCCAGGCACTTCTGTCTTCCACTGCCTCCCACAGTTTGGTCAAACTCATGCTGGTAGCTTCGAGAACACTGTCCAACCATCTCATCCTCTGTTGTCCCCTTCTCCTTGTGCCCTCAATCTTTCCCAACATCAGGGTCTTTTCCAGGGAGTCTTCTCTTCTCATGAGGTGGCCAAAATATTGGAGCCTCAGCTTCACGATCTGTCCGTCCAGTGAGCACTCAGGGCTGATTTTCTTCAGAATGGATAGGTTTGATCTCCTTGCAGTCCATGGGACTCTCAAGAGTCTCCTGCAGCACCATAATTCAAAGCATCAATTCTTCGGTGAGCAATCTTCTTTATGGTCCAGCTCTTACTTCCATACATAATTGGTATACAAATTTTGTTAATAAATGAGAGAATGAATGAGGAGGAAGAGGTTCCTAGGGGTTTGTTCCACTATGGAAAGGGTCGCCAACCTTTTTGAACTAGTGGGCACATTCCAGAAGTTGAGATTGTGTTGGATGTGCCAACCACAAAATGGCATAGCTTAACACAAAATGGCTGTGATAGGGAGTGTGGTATAACACAAAATTAAAGAGACAATCACCCCTGACAACCTTACGCTTACCATGGGAAGTCAGCTAGATCCTGCTGGTCCTGCTTCTGTGCATTTCACACACTGATGCTGTTGGTGTGTAATAACAACGGGGAGCATTCCTAGGTTGTTGGCATCCATCCGTCTCAGGAGACAATGGAAGTATGTGCCTTCAGGGATAAAGTCAAATCACTGGAGAGTTATGGCGCTTGTGGTACCTATTTATCTACTTGCACTGGTGTGTTTTCGAACTGCTACGTTGGCAGGAGCTGGGACAGAGCAACAGGAACTCACCCCGTTGTGCAGATTCAAACCACCAACCTTCTGATCAGCAAGCCCAAGAGACTCAGTGGTTTAGACCACAGTGCCACCAATGGAGCCGTAGGGCTGGGGCGTGGGCGGGATATGGCCAGAGATGGGCTTGATTCCTAATTACTTCATAGAATTTATTAATTAAAACTTTTTGCCCTATTTTTCACCTTGTCCTGTCTTAGCGGCTTACAGAATAAAAACATACAATGTGCAAAATGTAAAACACAAATGAAACACCAGAGATTAAAACATCAGAACAGCATTTGTGGTGCTTTAAATGCCTTTGCGATGGAACCATGTAACTAATCAGATTTCACTACATGACACCATCACAGAAACAGAATGTGATCAAGAGTCTTTACCCTCACTCTGTACAGGTGGACATTTTGCTCCTGGAGTCCTAGTTTGTGCTTGCACACACACAAAAATGAAAGGAACGTTTTTCACAGCTTGCAAAACCTTTTGCAAATAGTGTTTCCATTTCATTTGCATTCATCTTATAACCAACCTTTTCTGTGTTGGCATAAGCACCACTTTATTTGTGAGCAGCAAATAACTTCTCTGCTTGACAAATATTCACCAAGATTCAGCAAAATGCTATGCAGTGGGAGCAGCGTTGAGTAGTGTGACGTCCTAGTGTGCTTCAGCATGCCACCCCAGTCTTGGTGCGGTGCAAGATTCCAGGGGTTCCAGGCACTCACCCAGGGTGTTTCCTTTGGAATGAGGCACAGCAGAGACTGTGGTGTCTTTATGATATATGGTTTATTTACACATATATAACCTGAGCCTACGATGGAGGGATTCACAGCATTAACATCCCAAAAGGGTATTGTTTCATAGCCGCAGCCTTGGATCCAAACAGAAAACAAAACATGTCTCTCCCTCTGCCTTTCCAGCCCGCAGTGGCATAGAATGGGGGGCAGGGGGGCCGTGGCGCAAAATTCCAAAAAGGCACAACCAGGTGCCCCCACACAGGTGCCAGCTTTTGCAGGGATCCTGCAGGGAATCTGCAGTGGCCTCACCCCACCCAATAGCTGTGCCAACTTTCATCATGCCTCTTGCTTGTCTGGATGGAGAGGGGTGTGCGATGGTGTGTAGAAACTAGCCTACTACCTGAAGATAAAATTTTGTTTCATTCATCTGACCCCTTTTGCTTCTGGCACTTGGAAGGTTGCCCTCAGGCTGAAAAAGAACCTTCAACCCCGTTTTAGGTTAATATGCAAGCTGGAACTTTGCTGTCCTCCTGGAACTTTGCCAACATAGCCCCCCCAGAGTCTTGCACACTAGCTTGGTCAACTACGGAATGGAAGATGGTAGGATCCCCAAGGATGTGCTCTATAGGGAGCTGGCTTCAGGCACTAGGCCTGTTAGCAGACCAATTCTGTGTTACAAAGATGTCTGCAAATGTGGCATGACAACATCAACCCTACCATGTGGGAATCCTTTGTTATGGTCCACCACCTTGCTGTTTTATGAGTTGAGGTTGTCTCAGTATTTACCTGCAACCCTGCCTGCTTGAGACATATGGATAGCTCAGTTGGTTAGAGCATGGTGTTATTGCCAAGGTTGCAGGTTTGATCCCCGTATGGGACCGCTGCATATTTCTGCATCACTTCCAACTCTAGAATTCTATTATTAATGTCCAAAAAGGAAAAAAAGAAGAAACATAGAATGAGGAAACTGTGGGTCCCAAGAGCAGATAAGTAAAATATATCCAAGGTGGGATATTTAGGTCCTGATAAGTACAGTGGTGCCTCGCAAGACGAAATTAATCCGTTCCGCGAGTCTCTTCGTCTTGCAGTTTTTTCGTCTTGCGAAGCACGGCTATTAGCGGCTTAGTGGCTATTAGCGGCTTAGCGGCTATTAACGGCTTAGCGGCTATTAACGGCTTAGCGGCTTTAAGAAAAAGGAAACAAACTCGCAAGACATTTCGTCTTGCGAAGCAAGCCCATAGGGAAATTCGTCTTGCGGAATGACTCAAAAAACGCAAAACCCTTTTGTCTAGCGAGTTTTTCGTCTTGCGAGGCATTCGTCTTGCGGGGCACCACTGTAAGGGAGCGTGCAGGTGAGATGGGTTCTGGGAGAAGAAAGTGGTTTGGCTCCAAAAAAAGAAGGAAAATGAAGATAAAGGGTTTAATTCAGCCATGAAAATCAGTGGGTAATTTTGTGTCAGTTGCCCTCTCCTACCCTGTTACATTGTTGTGATAGCAAAATCATGTATACGCCCCTGAGATCTTTGGAGGGAGGGCAGAATAAAAATGAGTTATATACTGTATAACATAAATAAAAAGAGCAACACCCATGCCAAACTGTATTATGTATGCAGCTATTATTATTATTAAAAATATTATTGTTTTTATTATTACTGCATGCCCTTCACTCCAACGCCCCAGGGCAGGTTACAACAATTTAAACGCAATGCGAAATAAGGTTTTAAACAGCAGAAAACCACAAAAATTAGAGAAGCCTTGAAAGTACACATCTCAGGCGTCAAAATCCAGGGCGAAGAGGTTTTCTTTTGCTGTATTTACAAAAAGTTTCACCGTTTACAGAGTTTGGGCTTCTTCACCACTGTTCATGATATTATGACTTCGTTTTGTTAATTCAGTTAACGAAAGGAGCCATTGCTTTCGCCAGTCCTTCCCACCCCCAGTGCTTTTTTCTGGGGTGGGGACGCATACCCCTAAACATTTTGTGAATAATAATAATATTAATAAAAAATTATTTATAACCCGCCCTTCCCAGTCAGGGCGTTTAACAACCAATAATAAAAACAAGTTGATTAAAATACAATTTAAAAGATTAAGATACAACATTAAAACATTAGGATGCAGCCTCATATAAGTTTGGCCTCATTGAGGGGAAGTATTTCAATATGAGTAAGAAAATGTTTTTTTAAAGAAAAAACCTGCCCACCCCACCTCCAAATATCGTGGTTTAGCCGGAAAAAAAATGTAAGCATGCAGGCCGCCGGCAAAAGGCCTAGGCCGCCGCCGCTGTCGCTATGGCAACCGGGAAGTTGCCGGTCGGCAGGCAGAAAGGCACCGCCGCGATCTCGGAGTTCTCGCGAGAGCCTGGGGGAAGCCGGTGCAGAGACTGAGGAGAGAAAGAGAAAGAGAGCGGGATCCAGCGAGTGGAGGCCGAGGCGCGCGCTCGCCCGCTCGCTCGCGAGGAGGCGGAGGCGGAGGGCCTTTTCAAACCCGGCGGGGAAATGGCGGAGAACGACAAGTTCGAGGGGTCGGCGCCGTTGGGAGAAGCCGAAGAGGCGGCCGCCAACGACCACGAGCGGCAGCAGGATGGAGAGGCGGGCGGAGCCGCCAGGCCGGAGAGCGGCGACGGCGCCAATGGCGTCAAAATGTGTGTGTCTGTGAGGGAGAAACGGGGCGGGGCGGCGGGCCAGGCCGGGAGGGGGGCGTGGGCAGCCCGCCCGGACCCGTTACCTGAGCGCGGGGATTCGGGGGGCCGCGCAGGCCTCGCGCCGGGCGGGTTTTGGTTTTTTTTTGGGGGGAGGGGTCCCTGCGCCATGGCGGGGTTGAGGCTTCGGGTTCCCCTCGTTAGTAACATACCCGGCATTGTTGGAGAGGGGCCGCTTGATGGGTGTGTTATGTGTGTGAGTGGGAGGGACAGAGGCTGGCTGGGCTGCCTGCGACTTTGGGATGGAAGAAAGGCAAGGGTAGGCCGTCGTTGTGTTTCTTAAGCAGGAACAGGGATGAGGATGATGATGATGATGATGGAGCAGTTATTATTAGATTGGCTCAGGGTATAAGCTGCCACATGATGCGATGGTGGCTGCACAAATGAAAGACCATAAAAGGAAAACAAAAGCAACACGGTTGTAGTGATAAAGAATAACTACGAGTCGGATTCGTGAAAGGTGAAGAAATGGATCGAGAAGATTCATGAAGGGCAGAACCTTGTGGGAATGGGGTGTAACCCCCTGCGCACACTTTACCTTGGATGAAACTCTGTTTTCGCTTTATGGGGCTTAGTTCTGAGTCAACAGGTACAGTGTGCCCTTTGCACTCTTAGTTGGTTTACAGCAAGGAGTCCCTTTGCACCTTTGAGATGGGCAGCTTGTTTTGTGGCAGAGGCCTTTTGTGGACTAGGACCCACGTTTGTTATTCCAGGTTGTCAAGATACGCAACAAACAAGGCCAGTGCCCACCAAATGCAAGAGGATACAGTCTGTGACATTGCTATGCAAAGCCGCAACATGTATGCACAAGATAAGCACAGTAACTATTCACAACAAGAGCAATTGGTGTGATAACACCAGTCTATCAGTGTGTGTTCTTGTTACTAGTTGGTGAGTGTTAAAGGTCCTGCTTGAGAACTGCTAGGTCTGTCTGTTCCAAAGCAGGAGAAGTTTTGTTTTAAAAGAAACTTTAATCTCACATTTTCCAGCTTATAAAATTTGAAACCCTTCTCTTCCAAGGTCCTAATATCCCTAGGGTTAAATTAAGAAACCTCTTGTCTGATGGATTATTATAAATAAATAGAATTTGTGGTTTTTGTGTGCATACTTTGTGACCTTTCCATTCTCCTTTGGTGATTATGAAGAGCATGGAGAAAGTGGCCCCACACTCACTGTAGTTGCTCATTGTAATAGAGAGGCAATAAATTCCACACAGACAGAAGAGCCTTTTCACATACAGTCATACCTCATGTTATGTTTGCTTTAGGTTGAACATTTTCAGGTTGTGTCCTGCGGTGACCCAGAAGTACCGGAAAGGGTTACTTTTGGGTTTTGCCGCTTGCACATGCGCAGACATACAAAATGATGTCACGCACAAGCACAGAAGCGGCGACCCGCAAATGTGGGTTGAGTTCTGTTCATGTTGCGAACGGGCCTCCGGAACGGATCCCGTTCGCAACCAGAGGTACCACTGTATATAGTTACTGTATGGAATTCACTAAAACAAGATGTATTGGTGGTCCCTAGCTGCATTCATTGAGGATAAGGTCTACTTAAAGCTGTTGATCATGATAGCTGAATAGAACTTCCCAGTATGGCAAATACTAGATCAGGCATAGGCAGACTCGGCCCTCCAGATGTTTTGGGACTACAACTCCCATCACCCGCAGCCAAAAGGACCAGTGGTCAGGGATGATGGGAATTGTAGTCCCAAAACATCAGGAGGGCCGAGTTTGCCTATGCCTGTACTAGATGGTGGGGAGAAATAGCAATGAAGAGCCTTCATGTGCTGGCCACTTTTGGAAACACAATTCTAGACTAGATGGACCATTAGTGAGAAGCAGCAGGGGTCTTACTACATTTCTTCTTAGCCAGTCTATAACTGGTTGCTGTAAAGGAATGCTTGGACTTCAGTCAAGTCACCTGTTCGGATTCTCTGTTGAAAAATGAATCAAGTTAAGTTATTTTTTCAATGTTTATAGGTGTCATACTTGCTTTCTTAATAGCAGCAAACTTTTTCCACTTTTAACTTATCCTGGAATGATGTCTTCACAGAATACAGTATACCTTTCCAGGCTTTTAAAGAGCTGCTCATCTGGTCATATAATCTGGCAAGTAAGGGTACTGCAAGGCAGGGAACATTCAGGTCAAATGTTTTTGGTTTTCATCGAATCATCAAATTGGGTTTTGTATATGTCTTTTCATTTATAGTGTATGGTGTGTAGTATTTGAAGATCGCATAAGTGAATAGTAAAACTGTTTAGAATAGAAACTTTATGGCCAGCCTTTTAGTAGCTATGGTATATCTTTTTATTGTCTGAACTTGCGTTTGACAACATTAAAAGTGGCAATACTGGGAGGAAGCCTTTTTTAAAGAAAGATACGCATGTCTTTGTATCATTGCATTATCTCAATTCTTTGTTAATTTTTTAATTGATTGATGTTTTTATGGAAGTAATGAGTATTAGGATCCCAGTGAAATAATTTTTCTGTTCCTAGTTCATATTTATTGTTTGACCTGTTCAGTTTTTAATCCATCATATTCAGCATTATTCAACATTGCAGAAGTTCAATATAATGAGACCTTTTAGGTTAATATTTTTATTCCATTAAACAATAATGTGAAATTATTTAAAAAAACCAATTTTTATGACAAGCCCTGGGCTCAGTTAATTTGATGGCCGGTGCCATTCTTTTTTCAGCTATCAATGATGGCAGTGGAGTTCGAATTGAAAAGAAGACTATCTAAAGGAATGGCTATATCTCCAGTTTCTGTGGGGAACCCCCTGTGTTTTATTCAGTTATTCTAATAATACCACATGTAATCCTATGAATTTCCTGTGAAATCTGTGAATTGGTCCCTTTCTTGATAATTGATTGATTTGTGATTGATTGATTTGTGAAGCTTTTCCAATTGCACTTTGCGTAGGAATTGATTTTGGTAGGGAAGTTGTAGTTGTACTTCACCTTAAATATTGCCGTTTCAGAATCCCGCCCCCCTTATAACATTTGTTTAGTGTTCAGCTATCCCACAGTTCACCTTTGTTGGATCACCTAAGAACTTTCAAAGTTGGTCCTAATTGACCATTAGATAACAATTGCAGTTCTTTTAGTCCTAGTGCTTAAATTCCTCTGGATTTTTCCTAGCTTGGTCTGGAACAGACCTGTCCAAATTGTATGGTCCCCTTATCAATCCTTTGTTGTTATTTAGAAATATTCTCCTGTGAGTAGTTGGCCTTTGTGTGGGTTAGAGTGTACAGATTTGTGATTGTGCACTTTCAGGTGGAAAAAGTGTACAAATTGACAGCGTGGATATGGGGCTATGTGATCGCCCTGTCAATATGGATCATTTTCAAAAGATGTTGGAGAAAGTGATTTCCAGGTGTTTTGTACACTGCTCAGGCTGTGTGTGCAATTCAGCCTTGTACATTAGCACCAGAAGTTACAAGCTCACAAACATTTTCACAAGCCTGGTTTTTCCTCCTTAGAGGGACTGGCAGATGGAGCACTCTGTCCCCCCCCTTTGCCAGTCCCCTCTACAACTGAAAAGCAGGCTATATATAAATGTGGTGGGTTGGCCCAGGGAGCATAGAGCAGTCCCTGCCTCCACCACTAAACTGCTTGGCTTCCTTGTTAGGCACATATTCTGTACACCTAGCTTGGAAACTGAGCAGCATGGTGATGGAAAGAAGGAGCATTCCTTCACTCCATGCTCATGTCCTGCTTGTGGACTATGAACAGGATGCCACACTAAATGGTCCTTTGGTCTAATGATGTATCAGACATGGATGTATTATTTTGGTTTCTGTACTTGACACATGAGGGTTTTTGCCCTCCTCCACAGCTAGCATGGAAACAGGAAGCTGCCCAAGGTCGGATATCTTTCTCCATGGAGCCTGCTTCCTTTCTGTGGTGGGTGGGGAGAAGGGCAGTGGGCTGCTGGAGGCAGCTTGAAGTTTTTGTCTCTTCTGGCAGTCTGCTCACTTTTCTAGATGAAATTCATTGCCACCCATGGCAGCCAGTTTAGTGGTCAGAAACATAACCAGCATAAGTCTTCATTACATTGCCTGGGCACATGCGTAGTCCCTAAGCAGAGAATTATCAACCTGGCAAATAAGTGTTGATGCTGACTGATGTTACTAGAAGACCATAAATGTTGACAGGGCAATGTAAAAAATATGTTCTTCATACATGTCAGTTTGGGCATCCACAACCTGTACACCAGCAGAGATTTCTGTTGCTGCATTGTATACTAAAGAAAGTTCCTGCTTTGTAAACAAGTGTTGCTCTCTTCAGGCATTCTGATCCTCTTAAGTGTGGCAAAACTGAAATAGTTCCCTTCATAAGAAACCTGAGTAACTTTCGACTGAGTGTGGTGGTCTTATATTGTCTCACTTGTGTATTCTAGCTTGTAGAAGGAACTGCTGGTTTACTCCTACTGGAAATGAAAGTAAAGATATGGTTGAGTGACCTATGTGCAGTTCTAACATTGTCTCTTAGTGAGGGAAAAGTGTAACACTCTGAATACATTAGGATCTAGATGAAAATTATTGCTTTCATTTAATCAGTCTGTCTAGTCATGGAAACTGGACAGAGATGCAAGCCAAAAAGGAGAGAATCATGGGCTTCATGTGATGCTACATGCATCTTTGCATTTGCACATGCAGGTTTATTTGGTTTTTAAATAGCAGCTGCAGGGATCCCCAGTCCAGATTGGGACCATAGCACAGCTGGATGAGGAGTCAACCCTTTCTTTCCTGTGCAGGATCTTGCCAAAATCATTCCTGGGAAGCTGTTTTTGGCATAAATATAATCTTTTTTCATGGGGGCACTTAGTCCCTCCCCCTTCCCACTCATACTGCAGTTCCAATTTTGGATCCACTCCCATGCCTGCTGTTTTAAAACATATGCACACAGGTGTGAAAGTATTACCCTGAATATGTGTCATTTGTCCCTGTGATAGGTGCTACTTTGGGCTTTACATTTTGTCATAAAGTCTTGATAGAATTATATACTTAAAAGCAAACTAATATTCTTATTTTTTTCCTTCCTCACATGCAGGGAAAATGATGAAACGGGAAAGGATGAGAGACCACCTGTGAAATCAAAGTATATTTCAAAGCCTAAGGCAATCCCGTCTCTTGGACACAGGAATAGATTCCATCCTTACACAAAGGAGAAGGGTGCAGGCACTGGAGAAAAGAAGACCCTTAACCGTAACAGAGTATTCATTAGCAACATCCCATATGATATGAAATGGCAGTCTATTAAAGATCTTATGAGAGAGAAAGGTAACTTGCTCCTTGCAGCTGGCTTCTCACAGGAATGAGACAAACTCAGATATCTGGAATACTGTGAAACACACAGTTTTGGTTTGTCCTTTTCAACTTCTGCTTGTTATGTCTACTTTCCCCCTCTCTTTCACTGGAGACATTTGCATTGCAGGATAGTATCAGTAAACAAATGAAGTATCCACAGTCTCCTTCCATTCTTGTATGATAGTAGGTAGCCTAGAGAATATGCATGCCCTCATGAACCTTTAAAGGGACTGCGTTATGTCTAGGTGTAGTTCTGAATATAAGCAAAATTTAGTGTGCTTTTAAAGTATGAATGAAAAGATGTCCTTCAAAAGATGTTTCTGTATTTTTCTTGGTGGAATCTGGCTGTAGAATTCTCTGTCTGCATTGTCACTTCTGCCATGACTTGTCTGTCTGGAGCTCTATATCACGTTTGTTACTACAGTTGTAGTTTTTTTGAATGCCCCAAACTTCTTGCCATGGGCATGTCTGGGGTGGAAGAAATCCCAATTCATGAACTGTCAAAAGTTGGTTTTGAATTAACTGGAAAAACTGATTGCTTCAAAATCATGCAAAGAACATTTGGTTTCTAGGCCTTAAAAATAAATAAATAAAACAAACCTTTAACTGTGCTAGGTGTATCTGTTGTAAGGTGACGTGACTTATATGATTTGGTTTATGCAATGAAACCTTAGAAAGTGTGTGGCTTGCTGTGAAATTTTTTGACTTTTGTAAATTGGTTATTCTATTGAAGGCAACCTCTTTACTATTTGAAGCTATTCAGGTAGAAAGTCACCTTAAAACAGCTGTTGTTAGCAGGATGACAAATGTCACTGAAAGTGTTATTGTTGATGTCCTTAATTGAGAGGTGAAGGGACTATTTGTATATCTGAACTTGTTCACCAACTATATCATACTGGCCAAAATATGATCTGTAGTATGAATTAGGTTAAATATAGTTGTTTTTCTTTAGCTTTTGAGAATGTGGCTGTTGCATATTCCTGAAAATTAGCTAAATTATATAGACCTTGACAGGAGGTATGTTGGTCTGGTTTTGATTGTTGGTGAATAATAGGTGCTTCTTCGTAGAGTTGTGCACAGGGACACAGCAAAGCAAGACATTGGTGTTTAAATGCATTGTCTCTTGGTATTTTCCCTTTGTATGTCTTATGTAGTTGGTGAGGTTACATACGTGGAGCTGTTTAAGGATGCAGAAGGAAAATCAAGGGTAAGTGCCGTGGGCAATCATCTGCTAGAGGTTTAATGTTCCTCAGCAGTTTTACTTTTGTTTAATACTTGTACCAGTAATTGGAAAGTAAGTTTCATTTTTTTTCATTGATGTTATTACAGACTGAGGTTTCTGTATCAGATACAGCTTTGTCAACTTTCATATAAACTGGTGTAGTTGGATGCAAGGGGAAAGCTCTTTAATATGTGTCTAAATAAATGGCATTTACCTAATTCATTTAAAACAGCAGCTCTCGTTAGGATTTCTGGTGTGTTCAGATGTGTTTTAAGTTGAGCATTGGAAAAATATCATTGAAATGATAAATTAAGTGTAGCATTCTAATCTGAGGCTTGAGTATAAACATATGTTTTGATGAGCCTAAAAGATTGCAGGACTTCTTCTGGATTATTGAACTTGTCTAGGTCTTTTTAAAAATGGAATGGAAGGAGTTGGTTGTTAGGCAGTGGATTGCCAGCAATGAGGGAGGCAGTTCAGTGCAAAGAATGTTAAAAGCTGCTTTGTGTCTGTCTTCTTAAAAAGGTCAAACGTTCAAACTATAGTAAGTCTGAGCCTGCTGTGTGAACAAGAGAATGCAGGTTTGACTTGAACGTAAGCAATTAAACCTGTTGGGTGTCTGGTTTTTTCCCTTTGAAAATTTTATTTAAATGCTTTTTTTGTTCGGCCTGTGGGAATGTTTCAAAAAATAAAACAAAAATAGACCTAAACTGGTTGCTTTATTTTTATTGAATAGTAGTGCTGAAAAAAAAGCAACCAAACTGCTTCTCCTAAAAACTGAAATATGGAGAAGATACCAGCAGTTGTTAAGTAATATAATTGCTGTCATTTTTCTGGAAAACCTGAGTATTGCACTTTAAGATAATCATCCACTTTTGGTTATCCTGCTCAGTTTTTTCCTTTAGTTGGTCATGGGAATTTGTATATCATTTTCACATGCTATTTCTGGTTTGGCTAAAAAAAATGTCAAGAGTTTTAAAAAACTGACCATCTGTGTCTATGTAACTAATGTTAAATAAATAAACTTTGTAATGTATATGCAAGGTGGTAGGAGAAATAACTAGCTTAATGTTGCTCTTCCCACTCCAAAACTACATTCTTCATTCAGCATGTCTATTTTTGTTCAGTTTGTCTGAAATGTTAAAATGCTTCATTGCAACTGCATTTACTAAATCAACTTTATTTTTTCCTTCTTCCATGTTGGCAAATCTTCACATGGCTATAGGGTTGTGGGTAAGTGTTCCTTTGTGTTTTTTCCTTTGTTTTCCCCTAGTTTTTTAATGTATTTTAATAACAATTTTAAAAGTTCATCACACAAACCAAATCAATCATCATTATTTTGTTTCATCCAGTGTTGTTGAATTCAAAGATGAAGAATTTGTAAAGAAGGCACTGGAAACTATGAATAAATATGACCTAAATGGAAGACCATTGAACATAAAAGAGGTATGCTTGTAGTTTTTGCAGCTTTGATGCAGAGTATTGAAAGAGTTTTGGAATTCTTTTAAAATAGCAGAACAAACTGTATAGAGCTATTAAATGCCCTCACAGATACTTCCACATAATAACAACAATCATACTTCATTTCCAAGCAACCAATGATATCAAAAGTGCCAATTTTCTCTCAGAATGACAAATACATTCAATTCCTACTCCTTGTTTCCACTACCTGTAGCTTTTAAATGGATTAGATATGCTGCAGCCTCAGACTGCTTGTCTAGGGAACTGTTGAGGCACTTGTATAATTAAAACTTCAGATAAGACTGCTATACTGACATGAGTTGCTTAGGTTGGGGATCTACATCCTACTGATATTCTTGAGTCTTAAAATATGCCTTTTCTCCTACAAGATTAGATCTGTAGTTGGATGAACAATCACCTTTAAGTCTGGGGAATTTGCTGTGTGGCTCTGATGTGTATCATGTTCAGATTGCCTTGCTGTGGGAGCGATAAGGGAGGAATAAAATGTGTCAACATTTTCATTTGCCTGTATGAGTGTTGCGGTCTGAACCATGATGTCAGAGAGTTATGCTTTCTACGTTTGATATTAACAGAGAGCACCAAGATAATTGAATTTGGTTTTTGAAAGAACATGTTAGGCTGACAGATTTCTACTTGTCCATAGGCTAGGTAACAGCATATGAAGTGGCAGTGCACACTTGTCTCAACCCTCATCTGAAAGGACCACCTCTAGAGGTGAGGGAGCTAGGTCTCCATGCACATGAAGTACTTATTCCTTCTGCCGCCGCTGATAAGGATGCTAACTGCTCTGTTGTGATACTGTGAAATTTCTGAAAGAAAGTACTGTTGCCTGTGATTTGGGATTAACAGATGTATATTCTATTACGAAATTTGTTGTAGGATCCGGATGGTGAGCATGCTCGCAGGGCGTTGCAGCGTGGGAGTGGACCCTACACGGGAGGACATGGTCCAGAAATATCACCTGGCTTGATGAATTTGCCACCTTCTATTATTAATAATCCAAACATTCCTCCCGAGATTATTAGCAATCTGCAGGCTGGCAGGCTTGGGTCCACTATTTTTGTTGCCAATGTAAGTATAAATACATACTGGCTGTGCATTGCTTCATTTTGGAGCAAAACATCAAGTTTACTTAGCACAGCACAAGTGATTTTTCTTAGCCGATAGTATTCATGCCCATTTTAACAGGGTTTTAAACACTGTTGCATCTCATCTGAGGGTGGTTTTGTGTATCTAAACTGCAATATAAATTTTCCCCCCAACTTGGTGCCCTCCAGGTATTTTGGACTACAGCTCGCATCAGCTTCATCAATTTGTAATTCAAAACATCTGGAGGCCACCAGGTTGGAGAAAGCTATTTTAGGACCTCCAACTTAAATTTTTATGCTGCTCTGCAATTTTTAAACCCTTTTTAATAAACCTGTTCTGTGAGCTGAGTATGCATATGAATAGTTTTCTCTCAGAGTAGCCAGTTTTAAAATCAGTACATGGTTTTTTGTTTACTCTTCCCCAACTAGATACTGTTGGATTATGTGCTCAGTGTACTACATTCCTTTTGATAGCTTTTAGCTGAGTTGTTACTTTTCATCAGAACTAAGTTGTTCATCAACATGTTGAAAAAATGAAAGGAAAGAACATGGATGTGACCAAAGATTTATTTGCATCTCTGATAACTAATACTTCAGTTTTGGCAATCTTCCATGTATCTGTCAATAATACGGAAAGTGTGTGTGTGTGTGTGTGTGTGTGTGTGTGTATATGTGTGTGTGTGTGTGTATATATATATATATATATATATATATATATATATATTGCTATGCTTAAGCTATGTGTAGAGTTTGCCCCTGCGCTAAAACAAAAATCCTGTTTTGTAAGACAAAATTGTGTTGGTTTGTTTCATGGAAACTTTCTTTTTAAGCTTGACTTCAAAGTTGGCTGGAAGAAATTAAAGGAAGTGTTCAGCATTGCTGGGACTGTAAAACGTGCAGATATTAAAGAAGACAAAGATGGAAAGAGTCGAGGAATGGGAACAGTGACTTTTGAGCAGCCAATCGAAGCTGTTCAGGCAATATGTATCCTGACAAGAGTTGGGGAGTGACTGGGCCTGATTAAAGGAGTATGTTGTCAAGTGTGGGTTAAATAGGAATGCATTATTTTCTGTCTACATTATATTTGACTTGTATGTTTGTGTGAATATAGGTGAGTTCTTCAACAAAGCAATTGATAACTTTTCTGTTTGTAGTATATTTGATCATGTACATTTTCTCTTGATATACTAACTGTATTACTGCTAGTATATTCAGGAGATTGACTATAACACCATGGTTACATTGGAGTAGGGATAACATAGAATGGGGGGGGAATGATAATGTTAAGGGGAGAACTTGAAGCCCAAAGTCATTTTCCTCTATTGGAAGAAAGTGGCTCATGGCATTAGAGATTCTGAGAATGATGCTTATCACCAATAAAATACAAAATATACCCTATTTTATGGTGGCAGCTGATGCACCCTAGAACTTAAAACCTGAAGAATTTGGCAAGCACAGTTAGACTATATGGAAAATCAGTGCGACTGACTTGTTCAGTCCCTAGACCACTGTTTACTTGCAGAATTATTTCACACTTGTTTTATTGAAAAATACTGGTCTGGCAATAGAGAACTACTTAAACCATTGTTAATTGTGACTTACAAGCAATGATGTGCTTTAAGGATAATATTTTCCCATTTTGCCATTACTTTTAGGTAACTAATTCTTTAGTAAGTGTTTGTAATTTGAGTTCAACAGTGCTCATATTATTGGGGGAGAGATAGGAGGACCATTAATGAAATTCACAAGTGCCCCCCACCTCTTGATTCTCTATGGTTTTAGCTATATAATCTCCCCTACCCCCCAAAAAACCTGATAGTCTTGTAAAAAAAAAAAAGGAGCTAAGGATTCTGCTCGCATCTCACTGTCCCCACTGTATTTGTTTTTTAAAAAAATAATATTTATTACTTTTCCAACAATTTAAACATTACAAAAAAGAGTAAACAATACAATACAAAAACAGTACAAAACACTAACACATTAAACTAACCAAACAGTTTCAATATCTTATCTTTCATTCAGTTATTTCAGTGACCTCCTCACACCTCCCTTTTTGTATTCCACTTCTGTTAATTGTTTCAGCAATTCCTTTCCATCTTCCTCTGTTTTCTATCCTATAATTATCTTAACACATTTTAACCTTATTTTTCCCTTTAATTTTCTATTAATCTATTTATACTTAATTCCTTATAACATTTCTACTAAAGCCATATAACTTCATTCCAACATTTTTCTAACATTCATTAATTTTACAGTATTTCTGTAAATAATCTTTAAATTTTTTCCAATCTTCTTCTACCAACTCTTCTCCCTGGTCTCGGATTCTGCCAGTCATTTCCGCCAATTCCATATAGTCCATCAACTTCATCTGCCATTCTTCCCGGGTGGGTAAATCTTGTGTCTTCCAATATTTCGCGATGAGTATTCTTGCTGCTGTAGTTGCATACATAAAAAAAGTTCTGTCCTTCTTTGGCACCAATTGGCCGACCATGCCCAGGAGAAACGCCTCTGGTTTCTTCAGGAAGGTATATTTAAATACCTTTTTCATTTCATTATAAATCATTTCCCAGAATGTCTTAATCCTTGGGCATGTCCACCAAAGGTACCTTCAGTCTCATTACATTTCCAACATTTATTGTCGGGCAAATGGTAAATTTTTGCAAGCTTGACTGGTGTCATGTACCACCTATAAATCATTTTCATTAAATTTTCTCTTAGGGCGTTACATGCCGTGAATTTCATACCTGTGGTCCATAACTGTTCCCAGTCAGCCATCATTATGTTATGTCCAACATCTTGTGCCCATTTAATCATAGCTGATTTCACCATTTCATCCTGAGTGTTCCATTTCAACAGCAAGTTATACATTCTTGACAAATTCTTAATTTTTGGTTCTAACAATTCTGTTTCCAATTTTGATTTTTCCACCTGGAAACCAACTTTTTTGTCCATATTGTATGCCTCCATTATTTGATAATAATGGAGCCAATCTCGCACTCTGTTTTTCAATTTTTCAAAGCTCTGCAATTTTAATCTGTCTGTCCCCACTGTATTTGGATAGTGGGGTGCAAGTTGAATATTTTAGTACAATAGGAGATAAGACAGCTATTCAGAAAAGTACATGAATAGTATATAGTAGGATTGTAATGTTCAGTTGATTTTACAGATTTAAAAAGTGGTCCAGTCTAACTCATATAGCAGATTTTAAAGAAATTATCAAAGCCACAGTCAGTAGTCATAATCTTGGAGGCATTCCAAATCAGAATTCTTCTAAAATGGTGCTTGCTGTAATGAATTCGGACCACTATTTTACATGCATGCATATAAATGCAAATTTAATTGACAAGACCCCTAAGATGAAGCTATTGGATGACAGTCTAGAGTGCGAGTGTGTTTGTAAGATCATCTGTGCAGCTTAACATATTATTGGCGGATGTAAGGTTCCTTGACTTGATGTTCAGCTATGTTCAATGGACAATTTCTGTTTGATAGACCCATGCATGTAAAAATGGTGAGTTGTTCATTTGTTTTGCCCGTGGTAGCTGAGACAAACCACTGCAATGTTCTAAAAGTCTTTGTCTGTTGTTAGGATGACAAATCAATTCCTCACGATGATTTCCGTGTAGCAGACAGCAAAACACCACAGCTACCTCGTGAGTATTCACTCTTTTTTAATGCTGCCTGTTAATATAGACATAGCTACCATTTTGAAGCCTAGTAGAATTGCCCCTGCCTTCAACTGTTTAGAAATACTGAGAACCTTATGGAGTGATCTTTGCTTTCAAAGGTGGTCTTGGAGGAATTGGAATGGGACTTGGACCTGGCGGGCAGCCCATAAGTGCAACCCAACTGAGCATGGGTGGTGGTGGAATGGGAAGTGTGGCTCCTGGAGGTCAGTATGCTTTCCTCTTCTCAGTGTTTTCTTGCCTTGGAGTGAGGGATACATTTCCTGGAGTACCGTAGAAGTCTTTAAATGTATTGTGACTCATACTTAAATTTTAATCGTTTTTTTCATTATATGTACCTTTAAAATTGCCTGTTCAGCACCAAGCTTTTCTCGTTTGGTTCTTCCAAAAAAATTTTAAGTTCTTACATCTTATCCTATTTTTAACTGCTGCTTTGATTCCTCACTAGGTTATGATATATTTTGTTGCTATATTGCATTGGTTTTATTGCGAACCTCGCTGGGAGCTGTTCAGCTGAAGGGTAGAGTGGCATAAAGATATACTTAATAACTCACCTGTAAATCTGTTTATTTGAAGGAATGGGAGTGGATGGTCCAGGCTTTGGAGGAATGAACAGAATGGGCGGAGGTAGGCACGTTCCCCAGTTACTTTGTTCCCATACAAAATTTATGAATTTAGTAAAATGCTCTTTGCTTACGGTTCAGGTGTTGGCGGATTTGGTGGCATGAAAGGGATGGCAAACATGGGAGGATTTGGCGGAGTCAACCGAATGGGAGGTAGGTGACTATTTGCTCATAAAATGTACAGCTGTTCCAGTGTATCTAGAAGTATTGTAAAACTAAAAAATAAAATCTATTTCTAGGAATGGGCAGTGTGGATGATTTCCGAGGAAATATTGGCAGTGGAATGACTGGTGGCATAGGAACAGGCATGGGGGGCATGGCAACAGGTATGGGAGGTAAATTAACCAGTTTTTTAAATTACTCTGTGTTTGCAGTTGTAGCCCAATCAGTTTAAAGCTACAATCTTTGATTTAAGAGCTTAAGATCAATGATGTGGAAACGGACATTTAGTTTTAAAAAGGCTTCCATAAAACATAAACTTCAACTATCAGCTGGGAAGCACAGTGTGCTTTCCCACCCCCATTTGAAAACTAGAGTGTGGGAATATTCTCCTGGATGTGTTTATGAAATTTATTTTCATTGGAGTTAATGTATTACAAGCAAACCGGCAAGCAAACTTTCAGCAGGGATGCGTAATTGTTGAGTTTAACCAAAGGCTTCATTTTGCTTGCTTGATTGCAGCATACCACCTTTCTAAAAGGTGATTTAAATCCTCTGAGTGTAATACAAATTAAACAAAAATTAAGAATGTGTTAACTTGATAAAATACCATATTTCATGTTCTTGACCAGAGCTTCTATCAAAAGCTCAAGTTAACTGATGCATAAAAGCCGAAGGTTTTAATTGCTGGAGAGTGGTGCAAGCCCAGGTGTATTTATGGTGGTAATGCCCCTTGATATCCTCATTCTGGGACAAAGTTATTAAGAAAATGATCATAATTAGTGGACACAATATTGTCAACCCCCAAAGTTTTGTCACCTATTTTTGACGACATTAAGTATTTACATTAATCTAAGGAACTGGTAACACTTTGGCTGGCCGCAGCCCAAAGGACCATTTCTTAACAGTGGAAGACAGTTGACCTAAACTCCATCCTAAAAAATAAAGGTTTATAGTGAAAAACTTAATTTAATCCACAAAGTTCATTTATCCAAGGGACAATCAAATCAAACTCACTTTTCTCAGTGTTGTGTAACTTGCTTTTTTACACAAATGAAGACTATTAAAAGAGTCCTCCCTCCCATATTAGACTATGCACACACATTTGGAATAATGAGTAATAAACAATGAATTTGACAAGAACTTATAATTGGAAATGGACTGAGGTATTCTTATCCAATGATCTCTCATAATGTTGATGTAAATATTCTCTCTCTATTTTCTGTTACTCTTAGTAGCTTCACGCCAGTACCCCCAGTTCTTCCATAAGGGACCCTGGTGACCATGTACAAATAGATTTATTTTGTTTTGTATTTGTTTGTTTTTGTTGAGTACTGTATTTAAAAAAAACAAACCCTGAAGGGCTTATCTGCTACATTTGTGTTCCTGTGCCCAGAGACAATCAAAGTAGATGCGATGTTAAAAACAGGACTTTGCATTTCACATGCAGTTTTTTAAAATTGGAGGAGGCTGCTTCTTAACGGGATTCAAGCAGGCAAGGAGGGGTAATTTAGCTTCTCCACAGCTTTGATATTGAGGAATTTCTCTCTTTTGAAGCTGAAATTTGGAGGTGGTGGGAAGTCTCTCATTGTTGACAGTGCTTGATGCCATGCTGCTGCCTCCAAAACTACCTCAGCTCCTGGGATCCTTGAGGAGAACATTTGAGGCTGCATTATATTGGCATCCTCCACTGATCCTGTGAGAGGGATCTGCTACAAAAAAATATAGCGACTCCTAGAGTTCTGAATCTCACATTTGTAGTAATAGGGGAATGGAAATGAGTCTTGCTTCGAACGTATACCCAACATGTACAGTCAAGCTATAATGCATGTTGACTGGGAAAGACTGCCAGAACTATGGAGAACCTCTTCCATTCAGTGTTGACAATACTAAGTTAGATGGATCAACGGTCCATGGAACACAGCTTCCCATGTTCTTATATTTTTAAATGAATTTGTTTGAAATCAGTATCTTGAATAAGCGTCTTTCCACTTAGCTGTTTATGGTACCATTCAAAGCGAATCCTTTGTACCCAAAGGTCTGTCTGTAAGCAAACATACGGTATCTGGAATCTAAAAGAAAATACTGTCTACTATGTTTCCTGCAGAAATGTTCCGTGGAGGAATGGGAGGAAATATTGATAGAGACTTTGGTCGAACTGATATGGCAATGAACCGTGGCTTTGGAGACTCTTTTGGAAGGATGGGTATGGCCCTTGGCAAACTTGCATTTTTCATGGAATTGGGTATCAAGCATGTAGCAAGCAAATCATTTTCACAAGTGAACACTATGTTGCTTCATACTCATAATCTCCCTTTTCCCTTCTGCCTGTCCATGAAAGGTACTGTTGTCTTCTTTATGGAGATTGACATGGTGAAGTGCTTTTCACATACTACTTTATGAGATTCAATAGAAGTAGCTTAAAGCAGGAATCCAAATTAATAGCTTGCAGCTGTTAGTTCTCAAATAACCATTCAATTTTAAGAGATACTTGTAGACTTCTTGCTGCATTGTAGCTCTACTGGCCTTACAAATTTACATTCTCTGAAAAAATTCAATGAGAACATTGTAGTGAAGATATTTTTCTCATAGTCTAGTAGCTACCCTTGTTCAGCTTTTGTATGTCCACTGAGCATTACTGCCATCAATAAATTATTTTGTTATGAAAAGGTAGTTTGGTAGAATGATAAATTATTTTGTTATGAAAAGGTAGTTTGGTAGAATTCCCTAGCTTTTAAGTAAAACGGAGATGTATAATGCGACTTTTTTCTGTCCTTGTTTAGGTGGTGCAATGGTTGGTGGTTTTGCAGGAGGAATGGGAGCTTCTAATATGGGCCCAGTAGGATCTGGAATGAGTAGGTTGATCTGCTTCAACCAAATATAAATTCTAACGTATAATAGAAAGGGTCTTTGGTTAGTGCTATGCCTAGATGGATCCAGAAAAATCATTGTCGGTAGTAAGAAAATTGCTCCATTGATTTAAAACTTCCAGTTTTATGTGACTGCAGTTATAACTGAAGTTCATTAAGATGTCTAGTGTTTTCTTAAGATTAAGTTTCTCGAGTGGGTCATTTGTATAAACCCTAGCAGCCTTGTACCTGGTGTTACCCAGGAATTCTAAGAAATCAAAAAATCAGTGCAGTTTTGAAATGTTCGTTCTTCTGTTCTGATTCAAAATGGTGTCCAGTTGTATACAAACACAGACAAAAACTTGCTCCTTCATCTCAGAAACCATGCAGAATTTGGTTATGACATCTTAAGAGGTGTCCAAATGCATAGCTGACAAGCAAATTTCCAAAAAACCAGCAAATAATAGCAAGTATTGGAATCTGATATTAAGTAAAACCTGTAGCAACAGCTACCAGTCACAGAATTTCAGATAGCTGTTTTGACTTACAAGGTGGTTTTACATCTGTCTGTAAAAGGGAGATTTATAGAGTTGTCATGCATGGCTACAAAATAACTGAAAGGTGCATGTTAAGAATACTAACACCTCTGCATTCTAAGTGTGAACATATATCCAGTATATGTGATGGAATATAAGTCTAGCTCTCTTATCTGGTCACATTTAATAAGGGAATAATACACTGACAATTCCATGCTTGTGAGAGCCATTATGCTTATTTTGTGAAAAATCACATTTTGGATCAATAAATTTCTGTAACAGGAGCGTAGGAAACTGCTCTTAAACCAAGTCACGTTAGGGATTGAACCTGGGACTTTTTGCATGAAAATACGTAAGCTGCCATTGAGCTATGTTCTTTCTCTGTAATCAGTGTCTATCAAACACACACAATAATTTTTAATATTCTCCAAAACTTGGCATTTTAAAATTCACTTGGATCCTGCTTGCTTATGTAAAAAGCATCTGATATTAACGTGACTGGTAATCACAAAGTGCCTGTTTAAACAAAAAGTATGTGACAGCCATGACCTGATAAGCCCACAGTCACTTTCGCAAACTAGCGTGCACTGATCTACTTTAGGCATATCAGTGCAAACCACCCTTCAGGGTAGCCATGGCATCCTAAAAGCTGGGAAGGGTAGAATTCAACTTTGTGACAGTGACATCCATGATAAAATATCAAATATTAAAAACTTCCCTAAACAGGGCTGCCTTCAGATGTCTTCTAAAAGTCAGATAGTTGTTTATTTCCTTGACATCTGATGGGAGGGTGTCCGCAGGGTGGGTGCCACTACCGAGAAGGCCCTCTGCTTGGTTTTCTGCAACCTCACTTCTTGCAGTGAGGGAACTGCTAGAAGGCTATCGGAGCTGGACCTCAGTGTCCGGGCTGAATGATGGGGGTGTAGACACTCCTTCAGGTATACTGGGCTGAGGCTGTTTAGGGATTTAAAGGTCAGCACCAAAACTTTGAAATGTGCTTGGAAACATACTGGGAGCCAATGTAGGTCTTTCAGGACCGGTGTTATATGGCCTCAACAGCCACTCCAAATCACCTATCTAGCTGCTGCATTCTGGATTAATTGTAGTTTCTGGGTCACTTTCAAAGGTAGCTCCTTGTAGAGCGCATTGCAGTGAATGCCCATGGGCTGATACTGCCATAAATCAGTAATGGCTAACTGAAAAATGTAGCTGCCACATCAACATTCCTTTAAACAGACAAACATTACTAGGGGTTGCATCTACTTTCATAACCCAAATACTGTATGCACCATTTAAAATCTGCAATTATTAAATTCAGTTAGGAAAATGTAGGTCAATGGCACAAAAACAAAAATAAATGTTCTGTCTCTTTATAGTTGGCTGGCTACTACCAGCATAATAAATCATTGTCCATTTGCTTCCTCAGATGAAGATCAAATGAATTTGGTTAAAACAGCCCTCGGCCCTTTAAGTGCTATTTCCTCTGAATATTTTCATGGGATTCCATTGCATGTTAAAGTTAAGTTTAGTGGTTGCACCAGAAACCTAGTTGGCTTTCTTTATAGAAACTCACCTGCATTTCCCCTTGCATCAAACCAGCTTATTTATATATGAATTTGAAACTGTTATCAAGCTTTTGTTTACTGTTGTGCTATAAACATTACTATTGGATTCCTAAATCTCTCTCTGTGTGTGTTTGCAGGTAGTGGAATAAGTGGTATGAACAGTATGACCGGAGGAATGGGCATGGGCATGGGAATGGATCGGATGAACTCCACTTTTGATCGAATGGGGCCAACCATGGGAACTGGCCTGGAGAGAAATATCGATATGGATCGAGGATTTGTGCCTGGCCCAATGGGCAGTGGTGTGAGAGACAGAGTAGGCTCCAAGGGCAACCAGATATTTGTCAGAAATGTAAGCACATAAATTGAACCAATTAGCAGCGTTATTCTCTGGCTTCTTCTCCTTGCGTTACTATATGCTTATCTTCATTTCAGCTTCCTTTTGACTTGACCTGGCAGAAGCTTAAGGAAAAGTTCAGCCAGTGTGGTAAGTATTAGGCACAAATGTTGTTGCCTCTAAGGCAAAGATGATTAGCCGCAACAAAGATGGTAGGGCGAGGCTACCACTTGTGCCAGAGTTGTTGGATATCACCTGCTGCTCAGCATGAATGGAGTGGGTACCTTAAAACAGTGTATGCTTCACGGAAAAAGTTGTCCTTTCATGGAAGCTTGAGCTTCATTACCAACCTTCATTGTGGAACCCCAAGGGTCCCCAGAATGTGGAAACTTGCATGCATTTCCAGAAGCTTGCTGTGTGCCATCTAATTGAGACTCTGAGCCATGACTTGTGTTTCAGATGCAGAGGCAGCATTCGAAACTCCCATTGTTCTAGGCGTGTTTTGCGACAGGGAGTTTCATTAATGCAAGGAGTTTCTGAGCTCTGGGAGCCTAGGATTTCAGATTAAAACTGCCACTGTTGGAACAAAAGGAGGACCTTTTGCTGCCTCCCCACATTAAGCCATTCTCTGAGGAGTGGTGAAGGGACACTCATAAGAATATTAGGGGGGCGGGCAGGGGAAGAATGGCTTTGTTTTTTGCAGTATTCAGATGAGGAAAAATGAACATAAGATTTTAGCTGCAGTTCATTTTCAGCTTGTATTGTTATAAAGAAGTGCGCCTAGACATTCCGCTGCGGCACCCATAACCTAGATTTAAGGTGCCATTTAGCTCCTAGCTTTCATATCTCAGTTTCTTGCACTGTGCAGAGACAAACAATTATTAGTTTGTTTCTTCTCTCTTCCTGGGAATCCCTAGATGTTGTCCCAACCAGTAGCCTCGATGCAATGCCCCAAACCATGGCTGGTTCAAATCTGATGAGAAATCAGTTTGCCTAAAGTAGTTCGCAAACCTCAAGCCTCAAGCTGTAGTAACAGATCCTGCTTGGTTGATACTCACGATTTGTGATTTGTTTAGTTCCTTTATTTAAATCATAACAAACCATGGTTTATATACGAATTTGCCCTAGTTTGAAACTGCCAGAATATATTAAGAATAAGGATGCAAGAAGGTTGCAGTAATGTTAGTTCTCGGCATTCCTATATAGATCTGGGTGGTATTTGGTTTTTTGTGTTTGCAGCAAATTTATTTGGTTTTTTGTGTTTGCAGCAAATAATGATTTTTAATTGAGGTCCATGTCATCTAAGTCTCATTGAATTCTGAAGAGAATGTAATCTCCAGCTTTATTACCTTTCTGTGAAAACTCATCCTTGCTTTGCTCATGAAATGGACAATCTGTACAAAGAGAAAGGAGCTTTTGTGGCTTCTGGTAGAACTCTCAAGCTGTAATTACCTTCTTTGACTGTACACTTCTGCAATATTACATATTTGTCATAATCCACAATTTTCAATTCTCAAAAATGTATAGTTTTAAAAATGTGCACTTAATCTTATTCTCAGCATTTCATTTTAGCTTAATGTACCAGCATAAGTATTTTTCTTGTCCTCCTATTGAAACACGGGTGGGGAACCTGTAGATATGAAGTTCTCTGTCAACCATCTCGGTCATTTATGGTGGCTGGAGCTGATGAGAGCTGAAACCCCTCAGTATCTGGAGGGCCAGAGTGTTCCCTTCCATGCCTTAAAACATCAAAAAGCAAGATTCCCCCCTTCTGCTATCTGTTGTATTTGTGGCTTAAGAAACTGAGGCTTTTCTATACTTTTTTTTAATTAAAAAAATGGAACCACAGACTAGTTCTGTCCCATAACAAGTAGTGACTGCTAGACCACCTGAAAATGCTGCAAGAGTGTTGAAATTACTAAATTTTATTTAAGGGATTCATCATCATCACCATCACCACCACCATAATAATAATAATTTTATTATTTATACCCCACCCATCTGGCTGGGTTTCCTTAGCCACTATAAACTATATAAACAGAGTCTGAATGTAGAATTGCACAGTTTAGGGTCAATTTAAAACCTGTCCAGTGTTTTAGATCAGCTGCCTGTTGCCCCCAACTGCCTGGGTTCATCTAGATGTTTAAAATGTTAAAATACTGAGAATCAACAATCTCTCAACCTTTCCTTACCGACGAAGTTCTTAAAAATGCGCCCCCTCTTCACCAATTCAGTTTTCATTGAGGGCGGGGGGGGGGAGTATGGAAAATAGGAAATTTGGGAAGAGAGCCGACGTTGCCAAACCCGTTGGAAGAAAATATAACTAATGTAGAGGAGGAAGGATAGGTTGGCAGATAATTGGAATGCAGTGGCATTTGAGGGGGTGTCGAGTTTATAAACTCAGTGTGGCAAAACGGAGGCTGCTAGATGGCTTCTCTTGTTTGCATGGGTAGTATTACGATAGGAGACCTGTGACATGAGCTGGCTTTTATTACATTGCAATTCAGAATTTTTTAAGTTACCTGTGGCGACTGGCATTTCTAACACCAGCAGTGCATCATAGACTAAATTGAACTTTTTAACTTTGTTTATCCAGGTCATGTAATGTTTGCAGAAATAAAAATGGAGAATGGGAAATCAAAAGGCTGTGGAACTGTCAGATTTGATTCACCAGAATCGGCGGAAAAGGCCTGTAGGATAATGAACGGCATAAAAATCAGTGGCAGAGAAATTGACGTACGTTTGGATCGCGTTGCATAATTTATAATTAAATGTTGGGGAACATTCCTTTTTGTCAGTTTAGCTTTTCTCTCCTTGTCTCCTCCTAGTGAGTCGTTTTTAGTAACATTGTATGCTTTACTTAAGTTGGAAAAACAAAACTTTTAAAACCCACCAGCCTTTAACAGTATAGTGTTTAATATACTGTGAGTTCATTAACTGACTCTTACTACATTTTGGTTTTTGAAAGAGAACTTTCCTGACTTGTTCAGTGGTATGAACACCCACACCTTCTCTTGAAGTCTGGGAGCTGTGGCTGTTTTAATACCTCTCCAAAATCATGCTAAGTGTCTCTAGTCATTCAGTTTAAATGAATGGTTCTACTGTTTTTAATAAAACAAGCCATTTCCTCTGTTTAACAAAGACTGTATAGTGGAACTTGTTTTGTGTCATATTTCCCTATGTTACAATTGTAATGTAAAGAATGTGTCTTCCCTTTTTTTACTCCCCCTTTTCCCTGTTTGTTTTACATGCATTTATAGTCACTGCTACTCCTTTCTCTGAAATGACATGCTCTCATTAATTCTTGATAGCCTTGAGCTTTTAAGTGGTTCTTATGTCATGATGTGGAATTTCTGTAAATAAGTTTTAGAGCTCAAAGGGAATGCTGGAGTTTTTTATTTGACTAAATGAAGAAACTAGTGCTTTCAATATTTTATGTATGTTTATTTCTTATCCTCGATTACATTGTAAAAAAACCCCCAACCCTAGCAAAACTAGTCTCCACAGATACTGATAGGATTGTTTCCTATGGCTCCAAGTTCATACAGGATTGATAATATTACAAATGCCAAGTACATCACTAGACAGACTGCCCCCAATTTTTTGTCTAGCTTCCAGCCATTCAAGTGAACAGCCAGAAAAATAAAAGCAATGGAACAAACAAGAGAAATGGCAGTGTAAGTCAAACCACTGCTGTTCACTTCTGCAGGAGCTGACGTGTCTACAAAGGCTGTCCTTATAAACCACGGCAATCCCAAACACAACAAATCAAATACATTGGATCCTACAATGTTCGACATCGCCATATCGCCTCTTCCTGCAAGATAAAACACATTTATGTGTATCAATCTTAAGGAAGCTCTTTGCTGCATTATACCTCATTTTATACCATACCATGATTGCAGAAATTGCTAGCTTTAATATGCCTGAACTATTTCAGGTTGGCTGCTAAGAATTTGTTTTGCTGGAGCCATTCAAGCTCCCCGTAGTTCTCCTTTGACCTTAGACACCCTGGTACTACTTATAAAAGTAACAATTCATTCCCATTTTGTGTGCTAAAAGTTTGCCAGTTCTTCATGCCAGTATAGTGTTAGTGCATTCTGTCAGCATATTATAAACAAAGGGAACCGCCCCCCTTTCCACTTGCTGCAAATTGCTTCATAATGCTATGGGTATGAAAAACCACTCACCTTTCCTAGCCACCAGTACACTTGCAACTGTATCTGGTATGCTTGTTCCTGCTGCTAGTAATGTAAGACCCATTACAGTATCTGGAATGTGCAAAGTTTCCCCTGTAGCAAGCAAATTCAAAAGGAAGGAACGCTTTAGCTTTCTGTTAATGGACAAAGAATGGAATTGTGTGTGTGTGTGGGGGGTCTTACTAGTGTTTCAGCTACCACGTTTCTAGATCAGTATGAACAGATTTAACATACTACAGTTTGGTGGTATACGCTGAAAGAAGCTATGCTATTCTGTCATTTAAAAGTCACCATTAGGAGATTTCTAGTTCTGAAAATATTGCTACTAATCAACATGCCTGCGTCAAGTTTCCCTTCAAATATGGAACAGCTTACTATTCTAATTGCAGGTCTCTTGGAGTTGTTACAACTGGTATAATCCCTTCTTTTCCTTTGGCATCTTTATCACATGAGCTCTTGAAGTCATATGAACCACTAACCCTTCTTAATCATCTGCTCTTGAAAGAAACACATGAATTCCAGGCTGGGGGCGGGGGAGGAAATTAAGTCTGCTGATAATCTTGACTCAAAAACTTCCAAATGGCATTGCTGTGAAAGTTCAGCTGGGAAAGTAACTTCAAGCCTTTAGTTCCTGAAATGGATGAAAGGGCACTGTAATAGTTTGGAATCCAAATTTGTAAGCTATTATTGTTGGCTCTAGTTTAACGTCATTGCCAATGCCTGAAAATGAATTACAACATTGTAATCTGCTGCACAATTCGAGGATGAATCTAGGTGTACTGCCCAACACATGACTCCCATGTGTTTTTCCCCCACTATATCAATGGAACAGTGGCAGACAGAATATAGGAAAGGTTTAGTATAATGCTGCTGGTGGGTTTTTTTTTACCTCATTCCTGGGAAGACTCCATTTTGGTATATTAAAGCAGGTTAATCTGATCATCTGGGGGGCTGGCTATAGTTTCAGTGGAAGACCCAGATGCTTTCCATCTAGCAGTTCTGAGATTCAATCCCTGGCATATCTTCAGTTTAAGGGACTGGGTAGCAGGTGATGTGGAAGCTCTTTAAGAGCTGCTGCCAGAGGAGACAGTACTGGGCTAGAAGGATGAATAGTGTCCTAAGGTTAACTGCCAGAAATATTCTATTTTTTTGTGCAGCTTAGCTACATTAGTTGGCTGTGCACTCTTGATTTTTTTTAGGTAGTTGGACTTATAATCTATGTTTTTAATAATAAAAAGAATGCTAGGCTTAGCTTTTATTTCCTAAAACACTGCTGATTCAAGCTGGCTAAGCCCGTGGTTTAACTGTAGTAAATTCATAGTTGTACATCAACACTTCCGGGTCACGTGGCCAGCGTGACGAAGCTGCCCTGGCGAGCCTGCACCAGTGCAGCACACGGAAACGCCGTTTACCTTCCCGCTGTAAAGCGGTACCTATTTATCTACTTGCACTTAAGAGTGCTTTTGAACTGCTAGGTGGGCAGGAGCTGGGACCGAACGACGGGAGCTCACCCCGCCGCGGGGATTCGAACCACCGACCATACAATCGGCAAGTCCTAGGCGCTGAGGTTTTACCCACAGCGCCACCCGCGTCCCTTGCTGGATTCAATACATACCCACTATTGTTACCATCCATACAAGAACGTATGTAAATGCCGAAATCCACACTGCTGACATGAAGAATGTAAGCATGAACCAGTTCTTCCAAAACTGTCTTCTGCAGTCAGGTGTCGTCAAATAGAGCAGAGCAATAACTGGAAGGGACAGCACCCACAGAACTCTCTTCAGATCTGCTTCAGGCATGGTGAACACACTTTGAGAATCTGTCAAGGTGGCAAACCATTTAAGAAATGAGATCTTGGTCTTTATAGACTTGAGAGCTCCATAATTTTCCTGATAGGAACTTCTGTCTTATTTAGCCATTTGGATAGACCTACATTACATATTACTCGCTGTCCTCCAAAAAACTTTCTTCCGTAATCATTACATGGTAAAGTGCCACGAATAACTACACAAATCCCCAGTCATTTTCTGACAATGTACAGAATTACAGAATTGTAGAGTTGGAAGGGACCTTAAGGGTCATCTAGTCCAACCCCTGCAATGCAGGTTTATGCTGTACAGTCATACCTCGGGTTAAATGTGCTTCAGGTTGAGCGTTTTCAGGTTATGCTCTATGGCGACCCGGAAGTAACGGAGCGCGTTACTTCCGAGTTTCGCCGCTCGCGCATGCGCAGATGCTCAAAATGATGTCACGCATGTGCGGAAGCGGCGAGTCGTGACCCGCGCACATGCAGTTGCGGGTTGCATTCGCTTCAGGATGCGAACGGGGCTCCAGAACAGACCTCGTTCGCATCCAGAGGTACCACTGCACAGGTTGAGGGCTCTTAAAGTTTAATTAAAACTAACAAGACTGAGTATAACAGGAAGCAAAATTTAGATGGCAGGCAACCAAGGATCATTGATTGCTGTGTACGTGTGTTGCCAGAGGAATATGACCCTGTTCAAGATAGTCTTGTTTAAGCACCTGAGCCATTATATAATTTAAAGCATTTCAGCCGCCAGAGTTGTAAGTTACGTTCATGTGGCACAGCCTTACTTTCGGTATTTTCAGGAAAACTTGAGAGTGACCAGAGCGGCTAATGATTTATTTTCTCACTAGAATTTCTGAAGCCATTTGCACTAGCGCCAGCCCTTTCTAAAATAGCTGTTGGCAAAGATTGCAGGAATACCTTCAGAAATAGTATCAGGCCCATGTAAACTTGATGAAAGTTGAGCGTAATCTGACTCATCATGGAAAATTCCGCTGTCTGCTCTTGACTGCCGACGAAGAAGAGGCCCTGACTCTTCCTTCCAGCCCATCAGTGGTTGCTGTTCAGTCTCTTCTGCAGTCACTGTGAAACAGGTACAGCAACGACTAAACTTCTTCATGATGTACTGATTGATTTTAATGTCAAAGCAGAGCACCAAAATGTAGACTCCGTATATTAAGAGGAGAGAAGCAGATTCATACCTAGAACAAAGTAAGTATTAATAAATAAATAAAATTGCAAGTTTCATAGTGTGTTTTTGTGTTCAATACGCTTCATGTCTGGTTACAGAACAACCTTAATTAAAAATAATTCATGTTTGAGTATGCATGGTTATTCCAAAGTGATGAATTAACAGTTTCAGTGGTGTTTTTCCCCAAGAGGGGAAGATTGGATTTGCAAAGCAAGAGAGTACATAAGAATCTGCTCTTTAATGTGTCAGATGGTTGGTCCATCTAGTTCAGCACTGTCTACTTTGACTGGCAGCAGCTCTCCAGGGGACTTCAGAAAGGGAACTTCCTCAGCTTTTCCTGCAGATGCCAGTTGTCAAACCTAGAACCATTTTTGTGCAAAAGTATGTGCCACTCAAAGGGACGCGGGTGGCGCTGTGGGTTAAACCACAGAGCCTAGGACTTGCCGATCAGAAGGTCGGCGGTTTGAATCCCCGCGACGGGGTGAGCTCCCGTTGCTCGGTCCCTGCTCCTGCCCACCTAGCAGTTTGAAAGCACATCAAAAGGGCAAGTAGATAAATAGGTACCAATCCGGCGGTAAGGTAAACTGTGTTTCCGTGCGCTGCTCTGCTTTGCCAGAAGCGGCTTAGTCATGCTGGCCACATGACCTGGAAGCTGTCTGTGGACAAACGCCGGCTTCCTCGGCCAACAAAGTGAGATGAGCGCCGCAACCCCAGAGTCGGTCACGACTGGACCTAATGGTCAGGAGTCCCTTTACCTTTACCTTTAAGAACTAGCCACATTTCACATTAAGAGGAGAAATATAATCAGGTTTCTGTATAGTGTAAAGTAAAGGTAAAAGGACCCCTGACCATTAGGTCCAGTCGTGACCGACTCTGGGGTTGCGGCGCTCATCTCACTTTATTGGCCGAGGGAGCCGGTGTGCAGCTTCTGGGTCATGTGGCCATTTACCTATTTACCTGCTTGCATTTTTACATGCTTTCAAACTGCTAGGTGGGCAGGAGCAGGGACCGAGCAACGAGAGCTCACCCCGTTACGGGGATTTGAACCGCCGACCTTCTGATCAGCAAGTCCTAGGCTCTGTGGTTTAACCCACAGCGCCACCCGCGTCCCTTTGAGTGGCACATACTTTTGCACAAAAATGGTTCTAGGTTTGACAACTGCGTCCCTCTGTATAGTGTATCTGAGGCTTATTCAAATTGTCACTATAACAAGCAGCCTAAAGCTTCATGAATTAATCAGCTCTTACAGCTTGAGATGTATGCAACCATTGTCACATGAACAAGTCCCCATATCTCATGGAACGAGGCCTGTCTTTCTACCAATACTTTAACACTGGTTCTTATCATTTCCTGCTGGTAGGAAAATTGAAGTACTTGAGGCCATTTACAGTGTTATTTCTTGTACTTGCTAAACTAAAGGCGGTGCTGATTAAACACGGTTACCATGCCAAGAATGGAATCCCAAACCTTGTGCATACAGATAAAATATTCGTGTGTGAGCTAGGACTGCCCACCCCACATGGCTTACGAGAACAAAACCTTAATAAAACATTTTAATATTACCGTACCAGAGGCATCTCTCTAAAAGGTGCATCCTTGACTCTTGCTCCAACTGATTGATCAACAGATCAACCCAAATAGTGCTGTTGCTAACACCCTCTGGAAGCAAAAGTACGCTGTCTAAATGGCTTGCAAGGCATTTAATAGCCAGTTATTGGCACCTGTGCCTGCTGTCCAACTAACTACAATTCCACATAGGCTAACTGCATGCAATTTTTTGAAGCAACAGAGAAGCACATGTTTCAAAGGGAACTCAAAGGTCCCATCCTCCTGCTGATGCGGGGAATCCACTAAAAAAAGAGAACTGAAACTCTGGTTGTGTGGCTGACTATTGCCCGTTCGTGGGCACTTACCAGTAAACTTTGTTGTCTATTATCATTGCAAGAACTGCTGCTGCGCTAACTGCATAGGCCACACAGTCTCTGAACAAGGGCCAGCAAGACAGTCTTGAAACCTGTAGATAGAATTGAGACATACTTTTACGATGCTTGTGTTCTGAAAGCATAAGATGTACCTGGTTGCAACTGTTTCAGCCCAAGTGCATGAAGATGCAACTGAAGGCTCAGCCTTAATGTTCTATCCCACACATAGGAGCCAACTCCTACAGGCCGAGGTCCCTTTGCCACCCCACCCAAGTTGGCTGGTTGACGGGCATTACCACTCAAATGGTGTGTTTGTGTGCCACACCTTGTGGTCGATTTTGCAGGGCAGGGCTAACGTGCCCCCTCCAATATTTTATTGGCACTCTCGATGCTGCTTGCCTTCAAAATGCTGGCCTCTACTATGAGTTAAGTATCTCAGGAAAAATGTGGGGCATGAGATTCAAAAATATTCTAGTAATCAGTGCAGCAAACTGCATGTTTCAGGGTTCTGAGTGACCTGGATGAACTGCTTAACCTTTTGGGGGAGCATACCAAGACCTCTGCTTTGAGAGAGAAATGGACCATTTTCAGATGTCTGTACCAGTTTTGGAAGCTGTAGCTCAACTGGAAATGCCCTAAAAATTCAATACCCCATAAGTAAATCAGTGAGATCCAAACATCTTTATTTGTTCCATCTTATCCCTATTTCATGGGACGCGGGTGGTGCTGTGGGTTAAACCACAGAGCCAAGGACTGGCCGATCAGAAGGTTGGCGGTTCGAATCCCCGTGACGGGGTGAACTCCCGTTGCTCGGTCCCTGCTCCTGCCAACGTAGCAGTTCGAAAGCACGTCAAAGTGCAAGTAGATAAATAGGTACCGCTCCGGCAGGAAGGTAAACGGCGTTTCCGTGTGCTGCTCTGGTTCGCCAGAAGCGGCTTAGTCATGCTGGCCACATGACCCGGAAGCTGTACGCCGGCTCCCTCAGCCAACAAAGCAAGATGAACGCTGCAACCCCAGAGTCGGTCACGACTGGACCTAATCCCCATTTAGTGCACAACTTTCTCATTTGGACCTATATATTAAACATTCAGCAGCTGAAAGTTGCTGAATAATAGTAAGTGGGGTCGCAAAGGTTTTTACTCTCTTCCAATTGATTACATGCTGCTTTGCAAGCCTGTTAAGTTTAAGTAACCTCAAATTAAGCCAGCTTTGGCATTGGACCATGAGGAAACAGCTTCAGAGTGTCGTAAAAGCTAGGACATACCATGCCAGATAACAGTCCGCAAGCTGCACAGATACCAAGGAGGTTGTAGATTGCAGAACCAAGAATAGTGCTGACTCCAATGTCCCCCTTTGTGACAAACACCCCTAGAAGCAAAGCATCATTTTGACAGAATTAATTTGTGCTTCCACAAGGGAGGGAATTGTGTGCTGTTTAAAGCTGGCTTCACTTTACCAAGAAAGGCGGTGACCAATTCAGGTGCAGAGCTACCCGCTGCCATGAAAGTTGCTCCTGCAACATCCTGAGAGAGGCCAAGGGCTACAGAGACAAGGGACAGAGAAGAAAGAAACAAGAAATATATCCATGAATGGGGGCTGTGCATAATTCAGAACATTACAGTAGCAGATTCATGTTGCAGAACATAGGCTATGCTGAAATATTGAAGGCGGAATGCATTTTGAACAGGCATTACAGACAGGCCTCTTAGTATAATGATTGGCCACAGTAGTAGTAATAAAATTACTATTATCATTGTTGTTGTTGTTGTTGTTATTAACCCCACCCATCTGGCTGGGTTTCCCCAGCCACTCTGGGCGGCTCCCAACATATTAAAAACAGAATAAATCATCAAACATTAAAAACTTCCCTAAACAGGGCTGCCTTCAGATGTCTTCTAAAAGTCAGATCGTTGTTTATTTCCTTGACATCTGATGGGAGGGCGTTCCACAGGGCGGGTGCCACTACCGAGAAGGCCCTACCTGCTGGACTAGATTTGCCTTTGGCCTGATCCAGCAGGCTTTCCCTATGTTCTTAATGGTAGCTCTGTCTTCTGTGTGTGAGCTGGGTTCGATCCCCACTTGGGGTGGGGAATTCACAATCTGTCGAGAAGGGACCTTAGCTCAGTGATAAAGAACACACTTTTTCACTGCAGGTATCGGGGATTGAACCTGGGACCTTCTGCATGAAAAGCATCAGCTGCTGCAAAGGATCTCCACCTATGAACCCAGAGAGGTGTTGCCAGTCAGAGCTGGTAATATTGCACTAGACAGACAAATAGCTTGACTTGCTGAGTAGCGTTCTATATTCCTAAATTCCTATACTAATAGGATATAGAGTGCTGAACCCTTCCCCACCTCTTTTCTTTTTCCATAAGCCTTTTGTCCACCCAGGCTCTGACTCCTTTAAAAAAACAAAATGGTAGGGAAAAAAGCCTAGCAATTTTCCAGCTCACTTCTTACCTACAAGAGAGACGGTAACCTCCAGTTTGATTTAGTGCCTTTTATTTTTGTAGAAAATATATATGTCCTTTTTAAGATGACAACACCACAAGAAAAGGGGAAAAAACTTACCGTCGCTGATGATCTCTAGAGAAGGGAGGAAGTAATAATCGCACACAATGGACACAGCCAGGAACATATAAAGAATGATTAAGAAATAGATAATGATGCCTCCATCTTCTCGCTCCTGCTGCGTAAAGAATCCTTCTGGGAATTCCGATGACGGGGAGACAATACACTGCGTTTTATTTTCTGAAAACAATGGTTATGGGGTTTTAATTTGACACATGGCACACTTTTGCTGTCTTGCTGCTGAAAACCAGCTGCTAAGAAAGCAAGGCAGTCATTTCAGTTTCTTACAAAAGCTACTAAAAACCAAGAAACAGTGCAAGCTTGGTATTTGGTTTTAGACACATAAGCCAATGCTTTTTTTAAAACAACAACAGGTAGCCTTCTGGGGATGCCCCTTCTGCTCAGATTCTGTACTGTGAGGTTTTGCTTGAACACTCATAGTCTTGCTCCTGGGGTTTGTCCCCAGGTAAAGGTAAAGGGACCCCTGACCATTAGGTCCAGTCGTGGCCAACTCTGGGGTTGCGGCGCTCATCTCACTTTATTGGCCGAGGGAGCCGGCGTACAGCTTCCGGGTCATGTGGCCAGCATGACTAAGCCACTTTTGGTGAACCAGAGCAGCGCACGGATAGTTCACCCCGAATGCCTATCATTTGATGAATGCAACCTCAAACGATAACTTGCATGGGTGAATAGCCCATGGCAGAGCTCACAGCACCAAACATATATTCACCTCCCCTTCCTTAAAGGGCTTGTTTCACATGTTCAGTAATCCAAATAGCTTTTCCCACTCAAAGCAGGCTGAAATAAAGAAAGCTAACTAGGTGTGGTCTGAAAGGGCAGTGAGCTCAGCTCAGAACAGAAAACTGTTCCTCAGGCTCAGAACACGCTCAGAGGTTACACTCTTGTACAATTCTAACTGTGGCCTCATCTGCATCATTCATTTAGAACCATGGTGTATCACTTTAAATAGCCATGGTTTTCCCCAAAGATCCCAGGAACTGTACTTAAAGGGTGCTGAGAGTTAGAAGACTCCTATCCCCCATCAGGGGACGCGGGTGGCGCTGTGGGTTAAACCACAGAGCCTAGGGCTTGCCGATCAGAAGGTTGGCGGTTCGAATCCCTGCAACAGGGTGAGCTCCCGTTGCTCGGTCCCTGCTCCTGCCAACCTAGCAGTTCAAAAGCACGTCAAACTGCAAGTAGATAAATAGGTACCGCTCTGGTGGGAAGGTAAATGGCATTTCCGTGTGCTGCTCTGGTTCGCCAGAAGCAGCTTAGTCATGCTGGCCACATGACCCAGAAGCTGTACGCCGGCTCCCTCAGCCAGTAAAGCGAGATGAGCGCCGCAACCCCAGAGTCGTCCGCGACTGGACCTAATGGTCAGGAGTCCCTTTACCTTTTTATCCTCCATCACAGAGCTAAAATTCCCAGGAGATGTTTGACAAAGATACAATGGGGAAGAAAACGTGAAAACAACTGAGAATACAAGGCAGCGTTTTATTTTATTTTTTCTATTTCTGCCTGCATTTGAATTGGTCACATCACTTTTACTGCATTTTGTATGTATTTATATTTATATATCTAATCAAAATCTATACACCAATAGTTTGACAATCACAGGTAACTGGGAATTGCAGTTCAGTGTGGGCAATACAGGTTTCCTAACAACTTTACAGTTCTCAGGAGACTTTGTGGTGAAGCTGTAACTTAATTTAAGTTGTACAATGCTCCTTTAACTGATACTGCAGCTGGGCTGTGTGTGTCTTTTTGCAACTGGCTCTGGCTGGCTGCTGTTGGGCTGCTGTTTTATTTACTTCAGAGTAGATCCAACAAGCTTGGATGTGCAGCACAGAGCTTCTTAAGAAGAATCAGTAATACATAGTAATCAGTATTTGGCAGCAAGCCGGCCTCATATTTGATGACCTGAAGAGCTTTAAATATGGACAGAATCAACAGTGAGGATGAAACGGGCTATTTAAAAAGTGCTCGTTTAGGATGAGTCAAGCTTACAAGGGAAGGCTGAAGAATTCAGTACAGCTGGAAAGAGACGCTGCTCACCAAAAAATTAAAGCACATTGCTTCACCCCCCCCCCCGAAATCCTGGGAACTAGTTTGTTTAAAAGAGCGCTGGGAATTGTAGCTGTTTGTGAGGGGCAAACTACACTTCCCAATATTATTAATGCACTTTAAAAGTCTTAAATGTTCTTGCTGTTTCTCTGCTAGCAGCGGCTGCTTTCTGCATCCAGCACAGCGCGGAGAAAAGTTTCCTTTTGCAACCGCTCTGCCTCCCAAACCCCATTGCTTTTGAACCAGCAATTTTATTTGGGAGCCTCCAAATTAGGAACGCCGCCTCACTTCCTGCAAATCGTTGTTAGTCCTGGCAGATCGCCTCAATGCATTTTCTTTCCCTTAGCTGCGATAATAGCATAGATCATGATGCATGCAAAAATCCTGCCTCGCAAGGCAACTCCAAGCTCAGCTGAACCCTGCAGCCCCAAAGCGCCCTGATCCTTTGCTTTTCTGCCAATTTCAAAGGCTTTCCTCCGCTAGGTGTTGGGGGTAGCAGCAGGATCGCAGCTTGCTCAGAACTTTTTCCAAGTCCCAAGCTGAGCTCTAGAACTCTGGCCCAATGGTTGCCAGTGGCTTGAATTAATTAATTTTATAATGAATGATTTTAGAGTGTTGTTTGTGCTGTACTTTTGTTTGTTTTTTTTAAATGATATTTATTAAAATTTCAAAAGAAAAAGATTAAGAAAATTAACAATAAAAAAGAAAAATACAAAATACAAAAAAGAAAAAACAGTTAAAAACAATTCCATCTTTTCATCACTTCTTTTACATTTACTTGTTTCCCGGACCTCCTCATACCTCCCTCTTTTGTATTCCAATTCAATTTGTTAGTCCAGCGATTCCTTTCCCTCCTTTTTAAACCTGATCTTTAATCTTGATATATTATAACATTAAATTTTTACATATTAAAAACCAATTTTTCCATATTCTTTTATACCGTTACCGCTAGAAGCCGCTTGACTTCAATCCGTCATCATTCTAACATTCATTAATTTTACAATATTTCTGTACTTTTGCTGTACTTTTGCACTGTTATATTGTTGTTAGCCGCCCTGAGCCCGGCTTCGGCTGGGGAGGGCGGGATATAAATAAAATTATTTTTTATTATTATTATTATTATTATTATTATTATTGGAGACCTGTTGCATAATAGCATAGATGAGATGCATGCAAAAATCCTACCCCGAAACTCCAAGCTCAGCTGAACCCTGCAGCCCCAAAGCGCCCTGATCCTTTGCTTTTCTGCCGATTTCAAGGTGTGGTGGGGTAGCAGCAGGATCGCAGCTTGCTCAGAACGTTTTTTAAACGTCCCAAGCTGAGCTCTAGAGGAGACCTGTTGCTGCTCCCTAGGAAAACGTGCGTGGGGATCGGGACTTTAAAGGTGAGTCAAGAAAATAGCCAGCTTTGCAATCAGCACCTGATCCCTTACCTGAATCCCCGCGGATCTCCTGAGCCGACGCAACAGGTAGCTTTCCCTGAGGAACCACCGTTGCGAAAAACAGCAGAAGCGCCGCCACCACCACGCGGATCTCTCGGCTCCTCCTCCGCTGGCTCCCGCCTCTGTGCATCCTGCTCCGAGTCGCGCACTAGGCGCGGAGCGAGACAGGATTAGGGGATCGAGTGCGATCATGTGAGTCGACCGGGAGGGCCTCCCCAGACCCCGGGGCTGGCAGAGGGGAGGGAGGCAGACACGAGACGGAGCTGCGGAGAACAGCAGCTGCAGCAGCAGCAGCACAAAAAAACGAAAAATAAATAAATTCAGATCATCATATTTCGTAGTGGAATTGAAAGAAAGGGAGAGATTTCGGGAGGGCTTCGGTCGCGTGCCAGAAAATCCGGGTGGGGGAAATAGAAGTTGATGGGAAGATCTTGCACAACAAACTGGCTCCCACGCGCCCCCACCGTACTTTTTGGGGAGAAGGGAAATGACGGGGAAATATTGAATGTCACTAGCATTGAACTCCACCCCAGATACAAAAGTCATTAACAGGGAAGAAAATAAAATGGAAATAAAAAGTGGATCCTCTTGAATTCAAGTGATGTAGTTTGGGGGATGACTACCAAACTAAGACTGAACCACCGCAAGAAAGGTGGATCTGGTGCTTAATGGCATTGGCCTGACACAAAAGTATTGGTAAGGTTCACTGTGTTTCTTACCTACTCTTTGCCAGAAAGTCACAGGACTGGTTAGAGTATTAAAAAACCCAGAATCAGGACAGTAAAAACCATCCCACCCACAACTCCAAAATCAATAATTTGCACAGCATATTACAGGAAGGACACCAAAGCCCATTATTCAGTTTTCAAAGGGTAGAGTTCAAGAACTGCATCTTCCACAACCTGTGGAAGTGTCAGGCTCACCTCTGTGTGAAGGGAGTTCCGCATACTTGGGGCCAAAATGGAGAAGGCCCTGTCATGAGCCTCTGTCCCATGAATCTTTGAGAGCTGCAGAACCACTGGGAGTTTCTCTTCCGCTGATCTGCATCTTGGGCCTGGTCTTGGAGGTATTTTTTTCAGATATTCCATACAATTCAAATTATGATGCAATAAAGTACAACATAAGAAATAAAAGAAGCAATTGAAATACAATTAGATATTGGGATTTAGTGTGATGGCTGTGCTACCTCCCATCTAAAACCAAAAACCCACAGACCCACCATGGGTCACGAATGAGGCTCGCGGACCACAGTTTGCAAACCCCCGCCATAGAGAGCTTGTGCCCGTCATGGTGATAGGTTTGCTTATCTGGAAACATGAAGCTGATCTTAGCTTTATTGATCTGACAGGGCTCCCACCCGATGTTGTGCTTTTGCTAACTTTGGCTTTTTGGACAGAGGGGCTTCTTAATCTGTTCTTGGGGGTGATGGCGAGGATTTGGCAGGAGCAGTATTGAACTAAACATAAGTCTCAGGCTGCTTTCTGTGTGGCTTGCTCAGCTCAACTCGCTTGAAATGCTGAAGTACACATGTAATTGATAATTAAATGCTAAAGTTCTTGGCTGTTTCAGAACACAAGCTTTATTTGTCTGTGGGAAAAAAGGACTGGCTATCTAATGCTGGGGGGGTGGCAGCGGAATGTAGAGTCGTTGTTCCATCAAATCAGTAATAGTGGTAGTTTTCATAAATATTTTCAAGCCAATTATGCACACTCCTATGCTAGTATTGTAACTAATGATTTATAAGGCATTGACCCATTCCTCACTTGGAAGTACAGTGGTACCTCGGGTTACAGATGCTTCAGTTTACAAATGCTTCATGTTACAGACTCCACCAACCCAGAAATAGTACTTTGGGTTAAGAACTTTGCTTCAGAATGAGAACTGAAATCGTGCGGTGGCAGTGCAGCAGCAGCAGCAGCGAGAGGCCCCGTTAGCTAAAGTGGCACCTCAGGTTAAGCACAGTTTCAGGTTAAGAACGGACCTCAAGAACGAATTAAGTTCTTAACGTGAGGTACCACTGTATATGGGCATATTATAAAGGTAAAGGTAGAGGGACCCCTGACCATTAGGTCCAGTCGTGGCCGACTCTGGGGTTGCGGTGCTCATCTCACTTTATTGACTGAGCGAGCCGGCGTACAGCTTCCAGGTCATGTGGCCAGCATGACTAAGCCACTTCTGGCGAACCAGAGCAGCGCATGGAAACGCCGTTCACCTTACCGCTGGAGCGGTACCTATTTATCTACTTGTACTTTGAGGTGCTTCTAAACTGCTAGGTTGGCAGGAGCAGGGACCGAGCAATGGGAGTTCACCCCGTCGCGGGGATTCGAACCGTCGACCTTCTGATCGGCAAGTTCTAGGCTCTGTGGTTTAACCCACAGTGCCACCCGTGTCTCAGGGCATATTATAGTCACATACTAAATATGAAGGGGAAAAAAGAGAGGTGCAGTTGTTTTGCTTCAATTCATTTTAGTTCATAGAATCATAGAATCATAGAGTTGGAAGAGACCACAAGGGCCATCGAGTCCAACCCCCTGCCAAGCAGGAAACACCATCAGAGCACTCCTGACATATGGTTGTCAAGCCTCTGCTTAAAGACCTCCAAAGAAGGAGACTCCACCACACTCCTTGGCAGCAAATTCCAATGTCGAACAGCTCTTACTGTCAGGAAGTTCTTCCTAATGTTTAGGTGGAATCTTCTTTCTTGTAGTTTGGATCCATTGCTCCGTGTCCGCTTCTCTGGAGCAGCAGAAAACAACCTTTCTCTCTCCTCTATGTGACATCCTTTTATATATTTGAACATGGCTATCATATCACCCCTTAACCTCCTCTTCTCCAGGCTAAACATGCCCAGCTCCCTTAGCCGTTCCTCATAAAGCATCGTTTCCAGGCCTTTGACCATTTTGGTTGCCCTCCTCTGGACACGTTCCAGTTTGTCAGTGTCCTTCTTGAACTGTGGTGCCCAGAACTGGACACAGTACTCCAGGTGAAGTCTGACCAGAGGAGAATACAGTGGCACTATTACTTCCCTTGATCTAGATGCTATACTCCTATTGATGCAGCCCAGAATTGCATTGGCTTTTTTAGCTACCGCGTCACACTGTTGGCTCATGTCAAGTTTGTGGTCAACCAAGACTCCTAGATCCTTTTCACATGTACTGCTCTCAAGCCAGGTGTCACCCATCTTGTATTTGTGCCTCTCATTTTTTTGCCCAAGTGCAATACTTTACATTTCTCCCTGTTAAAATTCATCTTGTTTGTTTTGGCCCAGTTCTCTAATCTGTCAAGGTCGTTTTGAAGTGTGATCCTGTCCTCTGGGATGTTAGCCACCCCTCCCAGTTTGGTGTCATCTGCAAATTTGATCAGGATGCCCTTGAGTCCATCATCCAAGTCGTTGATAAAGATGTTGAATAAGACCCGGCCCAAGACAGAACCCTGTGGCACCCCACTAGTCACTCTTCTCCAGGATGAAGAGGAACCATTGATGAGCACCCTTTGGTGTATTTATAAAATAAATTCTCTGGATTTTTCAGATTCACGGTTAACATAATGTAGATTTAGGGACCAAATGGGGAGTAGCTCAGGGGTTGTGCTTGCAAAAATATAGCCACTTGAAGGTTTCTGAGTGTTTTTTTTTTTTAATGGAACTGAAATGTAGTCCCCAAAGTAACTACTGTATATCAAGGTATTCTGTGACATCCTTAATGATACCAGGACTGCTTTATGCAAGAAGGTACCACTCTGGTTTCACTAAGCAGTCGGGATGCTTGAGGAACCTGTTATTTGTGAGTTCGGGTATGAAATAGGCACATCACACCTAAGGAGCACAGTTATCCTTCAGATTTCATGCTTCTCGGAATTTTGCAACGTAGATCTCTGCTGAGAAAACCTATGGATGTGTGCTTATTAAGGAAGGGGTTTGCTTGCTTGGAATACTGCCAAACTGAGCAGGATTTAACCCCACTGCTCATCAGCTGCTGGGCCAGGGGGGTTAAATCCTTCTGCTTTGGCTGTGCATCTCTGTTCCCTCCTGGGAACAGGCATACGTAGCCAACACAGGATTTGACCCTGCCCTTCTGCCCATCATACGATTTCATGAGTGGCTGGAGGTTGCCCACCCCTGCCCCATAGAATCGCATACAAACCCACAGGCATGGAGGGGGCCCAGAGCTACAGTTCCCAGAGTGGTGTAACAGACAATCCCTCTTCCCAGAGATCTTTGGGAACCGTAGCTCTGTGAGGAGACTAGGGGTCTCCTAATGAAGTGGTATGATGCTGTGTTAAATGTATACTGCAGGTGGGACCTGTGTGTTCTTTTTGCACCTCCCTCTCATTGTAATAATAATAATAATAATAATAATAATAATAATAATGTAGATCCAGCAAGCCTGAAGTCTATCAACCCCTGATGCCAGCTCAGAGCTGCTCAGATTCTTCCCTGAGTCTCTATACGAAGTTTAGGAGGAACATTTGAATGCAGCTGCTCTCTATTTCTTCTTCATTGCATTCTAAGTGTAACTGGAAAAGTTTCGGACGCTTGCAGCTGGAAAAGTTTCAGTCACTAGCAATGAAAAAGAGATTTCTGCCAGTTGGGAGAGTGAAAAAGATGGGGGGTTGTTTGATTTTAGAGGGCATTGAGGGATAACAAGAGGCTGAAAGCATTTCCACTGTAAGAAAAATGAATGACACATGAAAGAAGAATTACAAGGTATTTTTTCCTTCCCAGCCCTTAAGAGTGTTGTAAAGCACCAAAGTCTCCGTTGGCAGCAATATTTTTGCTTCTGGTTCACTGCTCAAACTATCGGGTTAGCTACTTTCTAGTGGCAATTACATGTTAGTTCAGTTTAGTTATACTTGAAAGTTGGCCTGTTCCTGGGAGCCCAGCGCTCAAGAAACAGTCTGATTGCTCTGTGGCTTGTGAGTTTTGTCTGATTTATCTAGGACGTTTGTCGACCAGCCAGTCAACAAGATCCTTTGGGTGGTTCACACAGAGTTCAATCAATGAAAGATACCATAACAAAAATAAATAAAACATTAAAATCAATACGGTGTCTCGCATAAAGATAACCACAGCGGCATAGATTATGTTAAAACATTTTTAACCTAGCAGAATGATCTGTTCCAAGGGCAAAAGGTATAGTCACAAAAAAAGACCCAGGAGATTAAAAGGACACTGAAAAGTTATTAACGTACGTGCAAGATGAGCCTTGTTGGGGATAGCCTTTTCTAACTGGGGTGCCACCACCAAGAAGGTCATCTCACTAAATACCCATATCACCTCTTTAGGCAGATGTTCCTGGAGAAAGCCCTCTGATGAGGAGATCGATGTCACAGCTGTCTCCAAAGGACCCTCAGGTGGGACAAGGGCCAGGATTGAAGCTGACGGGGAGACATACCAAAAGGAATGAGGGCTTTATTTATGTATGCCACTACAGCAGCAAGAATGTTGATTGCACAAAATTGGAAGACTGGAGAAATACCAACTAAAGAACAATGGCAAGAGAAGTTGATGAACTATGCAGAACTGGCAAAAATGACAGAAAGACTAAGAGAAAAAGACAACAGAGACTTTGAAAAAGATTGGGAACCATTCATATTAGATTTGCAGAAACAAAGAAAGGTAATAGACTTGATGGCAGGATTTACATAAACATCCACATTATTAGCATCAGAAAATGTTTGGAAGATAGTGAAATAAGATGATGTATTTAATTTTATTTTTATGTTTTTAAGGTTTGATGTTATGTTATTAATAACTTTTTCTGTTGAGAGATAGCAAAGCAGGTGAAAATAGAAACAAACCAGAAAGGCAAGTTGGGGGAAGTCTTGAAGGGGAGGGAAGAATATATAGTAAACGTTAAGAATTTGAGATGTATGTAATGAACCAAAATGAAAAATGAATATATATATATATATATATTTAAAATAAGCTGACAGGAAGGTTGGGAAACATCAACGATGCATTTGGAAGCTGGGCAAACACTTCCAATGAAGAAAGGCATTGCATGGCTTTTACCAGGAGCTTCTTTGAATAGGGAAAAACAGACCCCTAATTCATCTCCAGGGGTGTCAATAAATAAACAATGCCCTTTGGCTGAACAGAACACCTTTAGAGTGGATAGGGCAAATGGGGCACCATACCACTAAACTCAATCTGTCCTCATGCCTTTTTCCCTACAACTGGAGCAGGGTTGTCTATCAGCTTCCTCATCCTTAGTCTCAGTTGTGTGCTTCTAGAACTCAGCAGGGTCATAGTGCTATTTTTTTCCCCTAGGAAAAGAGGTGCCAGAACTCACCACGAATGCCTCCCTCATTCTCTTAGAATGCCACTGGCACCCACCTGGGAGGTGCCAGAACTGATTCCTGGCGTGTTCCATCTGAAAAAAATCCCTGGTTGCTGATGTGGTTGACATCCATCTGTCTCTCAAGAGGCAATGGTGACCTCTTGGGCTACAAGCCTTCCTTTGCGCCCCGGCCTACTCTCTTGGTCCTGGGCTGCCCAGGATGAATGGGGTCTTTAGGGTAAGGTTACCAGATTTTTTTCAAAGAATCCGGGGACACTTTTTTAAAAAAAAGAGAAAAAAAGTTATTGTTTAAAAAAGGTATTACCGTATTTTTCGCTCTATAAGACGCACCAGACCATAAGACGCACCTAGTTTTTGGAGGAGGAAAACAAGAAAAAAAATATTCTGAATCTCAGAAGCCAGAACAAGAGGGATCACTGTGCAGCGATCCCTCTTGCTGTTCTGGCTTCTGGGATAGCTGCGCAGCCTGCATTCGCTCCATAAGACGCACACACATTTCCCCTTACTTTTTAGGAGGGAAAAAGTGAGTCTTATAGAGCAAAAAATACGGCAATTTTTAAAAAAGAAGTAATATCTTCTCTTCTGTGGTCTCTTCTGTCGCATGGCCTTCCTCTGCACCCCGGCCTACTCTCTTGGAGCGCTAGCTGCCGTGGAGTAGGCTCGGGTCGGGCCTGGGCTCGCCATGTGTCCTTGCCCTCGTGGTGCTCTCCTACCTCTCTTCCTCAGTGGCGGCAGCGGTGTGGCAAGGTTGGGGTTCCCCTCTTTTTTCTCCTCCCTCTTTCTCTCTCTTCCTCCTCCTTCCTCTCCTCCTTCTCCCTGCATTGGCTCTGGGGTTTTCCTGGCCTCGGAGCACTGTTGGGCAGTTGGCCGGGTGCTCTTGCACCAGGCTCAATTTGGGTCACGGGTGTGTTTGTGTGTGTCAGCGGTTCTAAGCCACCTGAATTTGGCACACCTAGACCAGCCTAATGATCCTGTAAGTGGAAAGTAAACACTCTGTCACTGCTATGGTGTTTTCCTGCAACAGAGAACTAATGGACAATTAGGAGGGCACATGGACTGGAATTAAGATGTAAATTTGGCCAGTGTTCATGTGCTTAAGCTGTGCCTGGGTATACAGTTGGATTCGAACCATTTCATATTACATATTGAAGTCTAAAAGTGGACAGCCTTTTGTAAAATGACTATAAGCGACGCACCTTTGCATGGGGGAGAAATCCAATTTGCCTTTAAACCAAATTCACGCTTCTCGAAACATCAGATGAATTGAAATGGAGCCACCCTTCAAAATTCACGCTTCCCCTAATTTTGCAATGCAGTTCTCTTCCCGAGTGATCTGCGCAAAAGTGCATATGCTAGAGTAAAAAATTACAGTGGTACCTCGGGTTAAGTACTTAATTCGTTCCAAAGATCTGTTCTTAACCTGAAACTGTTCTTAACCTGAAGCACCACTTTAGCTAATGGGGTCTCCCTCTGCCGCCGCGCCGCCGGAGCCCAATTTCTGTTCTTATCCTGAAGCAAAGTTCTTAACCTGAAGCATTATTTCTGGGTTAGTGGAGTGTGTAACCTGAAGCATATGTAACCTGAAGCGTATGTAACCCAAGGTACCACTGTATATTAAAATGCACGTATTAGTGAAAACATCATACACAGCTGCATAATATTAAGGGGAGGTCGAATTACAGTAAATTAAAAAAATTGTCCAGTAGCTGTAAGTGTGCATGCACACAAAAGCTTATACCCAGAACAAACTTAGGTCTCTAAGGTGTTACTGGACAATTTTTATTTATTTATTTCAACTGTGTCCGGCCAACACGGCTACCTACCTGAATCTAGAATTAAGGGAAGGTGTTTGCAAAAAAAATGTGTGTGTTAGGGAGAATTCACTGACCGGGGGAAATAATTCAAACTGATGCAGAAATGGGGAGAACTGGACTTAAGAGTGGAAAAAATGAGAAGTCAAGAGAAACTGAAGTACACACATTATCCCACCATGCAGGATGTTCAGGTGAGTGATACTGGATGCAGTTCCCTGCTGAAGAGTACCGGTATACTTGGTGATGAATTCAGGCTGCATAATGTATGGAAATCAGCTGGATTGTACCCTCTGTTTCAGTGGTGAGCCTCAGCAATTGAGCAACTGTTCCAGTGGTCATTTTGCAGGTGTTTTGGGTCTTGTATATAATTAGGCTTATCCCAGGCGCTTCCAGTACAGGGGGTTCTGCCAACTGCTGCCACCCCTATTCTCCTCTTTCCTCCCCACTTCCAATCCTCTTCCTGACCCTACACTTTTTAAAAACTGAAATGAACTTTAAATTTGCAACAACCTTTCTCCCTATGGTGGCAAGCCACAGCAACTCAGGCACTCTCCTGACCACCTTGTTTGAAGGCTTCACTCTGAATAGCTGGATAGCTCAGTTGCTTAGAGCGTGGTGCTGGTAACGCCAAGGTTGCAGGTTCGATCCCTGTATGGGACAGCTGTATATTCCTGCACTGCAGGGGGTTGGACTAGATGATCCTCAGGGTCCCTTCCAATTCTACGATTCTATGAAGGACTCTCTTGACCCTTTCTCTGAGTGAAGTGAGGCAGGGAGGAGGAGGTGAAGGGGTGCCTTGCCTCGCTGAGTGACTGGTGGGTAGCCACATGCTAATAATAAAATCAGCTAATAATAAAATCAGCAGTAGGCCTGGGGATGTCACAAATTTGCTGCCTCCTGTGACCACTGCCTGAGACAATGGTTTCATTCGTCATCATTATTGGGCTGGTTCTGGGATGATGATCTCTCTGATTTATTTCCCTGTTCAAGAGGCCGACATGAGACCGGAGAGAGATTAAAAGAGCCTGCAGTTAAAATGAAGGACTTTGCCTACCGTGGAGCCCACATCCCCCTGCCTCCTTTTTAAACCCTTTTATGACCACGTAAGCACCAGAAGGGCAGAAAAAAGTTTTTACATTAATAAATAGTACAGACGTACCTTGGAAGTTGAACGGAATCCATTCCAGAAGTCCGTTCGACTTCCCAAATGTTTGAAAACCAAATTGCAGCTTCTGATTGGCTGCAGGAAGCTCCTGCAGCCAATCGGAAGCAGCGGAAGCCCCATTGGATGTTTGGGTTCCAAAAGAATGTTCACAAACCAGATCAATCACTTCCGGGTTTGTGGCGTTCAGAAGCCAAAACGTCTGAGTTCCAGGGCATTTGGGATCCAAGATACGACTGTATTCTGATTGGCAAGTTGGGAAGAAGTAGAGGCTGGCCCATTAGGGTGAATGTTGCACTGTTCCACCAGTCTGTCCTTTGCCAGCCTCTAGCTGTCTGGGCTTCTGACCATGGGTGCCAGCTCCTAGGAGCTAAGCCCCTTTGTCCCTCCTATATTTTTGCGGTAGGGGCCAAGCTCCACCATGCCCCCAAAGCATGGAGCCGAAGTGGAGCCTACCATGGCGTGCCTCCAATGACTGGCTCCTCCTCCTGCCGCAGAGGGGAAGCTGCCTGCCACTTTCCTTCTCCATTGACTCAAGTGTTGTCCTTGAAGAACTCAGCAGTGAGGATTGGGATAGAGCTATAAATTAGTTGGCTTCACCTGCCCTTGACTCTGGCACCACCTGCTGTTGACCTCCCTGCATTCCATCCTATCAGCTTCAAGGGACGCCAGCTGCCAATACAGTAGTGCCTTGGTTCCTGAACAGCTTGGCTCCTGAACAAATTGGTTCCCAAACATCCAAACCTGGAAGTAAGTGTTCCGGTTTGCGAATATTTTTCGGAAGCCGAACATCCAACGTGGCTTCTGCAGTTTCCGACTGAGTTCAGGAAGCTCCTGCAGCCGATTGGAAGCCACACCTTGGTTTTCGAACAGTTTCGGGAGTCGAATGGACTCCCGGAATGGATTAGGTTTGAGAACCAAGGTTCCACTGTACATCAAGCCTACAGTGTCCCAAAAAAGTGGCCTCTGTGGGTCCCAAACATTTATAGGGACTGCAGCCCCTGGGAGGGGAAGTTTAAACCTTCCCTGTCCAACCACAATCCCAACGAAAATTGCTGTTGCGCGGCAATTGGCATTAGCTAAACAACTCTCAGTGGTGTTAATTTCCTAATACTAATTGTGGTGTTTGGAACAATTTGCCTCTGTATTGCTGCTGGGGAGGGAAGAGTTAAACTTCCCTCCTTGTACATGGCAGTCCTCATGAAAGCCTCCCCCCCCCTCAAATTAGATATTAAACTTTTGACATGCAATTTCTGCCCATGAAATTAAAGCAGGTTTGGGGGAACCTGTTGCCCTCCAAATGTTGCAAGACTATAGCTCCCATCATCCCTAACCATTGGACATGCTGGCTAGAGCTGA